TATACCCAAAATCTATATTTTCTCATTATAATTGCTACTACAATATTCCCATCTCTTTCGCACTTCGTCCTGTTGTCTACATCTCAGCATATTAATACAGTTTTAGCAGAAAGGGCAAAAAATATCCATGCCAGAGTCTATGATGTTGATGACTGACTGACTAGTCAAGTGTTTGCTATAAAACCCCAGAAAATTCACCTTTAGGTTAAGGATTCCTAGTGAGATGAAAAAAAATATTTATTGTTCCCACTTAGTTAATGGTTATCCAGATGATGATGATTCGTGACTATAATTGTTTTCAGAACTTTGGATACACATAAAATTGCTATTAACATGTAGTTTAGCCGAGAAATTACATATATATGCAAACAGGTAACAGAGTTATTTCTTTCTTCTTCCACAATAATAAACTCCCTTCTTTTGAACTGTTATACTTCACATTGTTACTTGATTAGAACTTTACTTTTTGAAGAGATAAATGTTTCTAATAAGTGTCGACTTAACAAGTTACAAATATATCCGTACAGTGTATCATAACTCAAACTAAAAACGTTTCAGTTTACAGCTTTTGACATCATGATGAGATTACTTACTTACTTACGTCTGTTACTCCTCGTGAAGGAGCATAGGTCGCTCACCAGCATTCTCCATCCAACCCTGTCCTGGATAATCCTTTCCAGCTCCTTCCAGTTGTAATTCATCCTTTTCATATCTCCCGACGTAATATGTTCTTTGGCCTTCCTCTTTTCCGCTTCCCTTCAGAATTCCAAGTTAGTGCTTGCCTCGTGATGCAGTTTGATGATTTGCGTAATGTATGTCCTATCCAGTTCCATCGTCTTTTCCTAATTTCTTCTTCAGCTGGAAGTCGGTTTGTTCTCTCCTAGAGAAGGCTATTGCTGATAGTATCCGGCCGATGGATGATGAGTATCTTGCGTAGACACCTATTTATAAATACTTGTACCTTCTTGATGGTGGTTGTTGTAGTTCTCGAAGTTTCAGCTCCGTACAGTAGAACTGACTGTCTTGACGTTCGTATTGAAGATTGTGACTTTGATATTGGTTGACGGTTGTTTTGAGTTTCATATGTTCTTCAATTGAAGGAGTGCGGCCCTTGCTTTTCTAATCCTCGCCTTTACGTCTGCATCTGAAACTCCTTGTTCATCGATGATGCCACCAACCAGGTATGTGGAGGATTCTACATCTTCCATAGTTTCGCCATCAAGAGTGATTGGATTGCTGTTCTCCGTTTTGAATTTGAAGAACTTGGTTTTCCCTTTGTGTATGCTGAGGCCTACTGATGCAGAGACTGCTACTACACTGGTTGTATTTATCTGCATTTGTTCGTGTGTATGAGATAGGAGGGCTAGGTCATCTGCGAAGTCCAATTCGTCTAATCGATTCTGACATGTCCATTGTATTCCGTGTTTTCCTTCAGATGTCGATGTCTTCATAATGCGGTCGACCACCAGAAGAAAGAGAAAGGGAGAGAGTAAACAGCCTTGTCTGACTCCGGTCCCTACTTGGAATGCATCTGTCAGCTGTCCTCCATGCACTACTTTGCACTGTAGTCCGTCTTATTAGTTCCGGATAATATTAACAATCTTCTCAGAAACTCCGTAGTGTCGAAGAAGTTTCCATAACGTTCTCCTATCCAAACTGTCAAATGTCTTTTCATAATCATTGAAGTTGATGTATAGTGACGTGTTCCACTCAACTGATTGTTCGACGATGATCCGTATTGTCGCAATTTGATCTGTGCACGACCGATCCTTACGGAATCCAGCTTGTTGATCTCGAAGTTGGCTGTCTACTGCGTCTTTTATCCGGTTCAGCAACACTCTGTTACAGACTTTCCCTCGTACAGACAATTGTGTAATGCCTCTGTAGTTTTCACATTTGCTCAGATCTCCTTTCTTTGGAATCTTGACGAGGTGTCCTTCTTTCCAGTCCATCGGCACTTGTTCCTCCTCCCAAATCTTTTTGAATAGAGGGTAAAGCATGCTTGTGGTTACTTCGATGTCTAATTTCAGTGCTTCAGCTGGTATATTGTCGGGTTCTGCTGCTTTCCCTCTCTTGATTTGTCTGACGGCCATTATGATTTCTTCCTTCGTTGGTGGGTTGACGTCTATGGGAAGATCTGTGTATGCTGCTTCGATGTCCGGTGGATTCATTGGAGCCGGCCTGTTCAGGAGTTCCTCGAAGTATTCTATCTATCTGTTCCGCTGTTGTTGAATTTCAGTGATTGGCCTACCTTCTTTGTCCTTTACCGGTCTGTCCGGTTTACTATATTTCCCTGCTAGTTTCTTCGTTGTATCGTAAAGCTGTTTCATATTTCCTTCTCTAACAGCTTTTTCTGCCGTCGTTGATAGTTCTTCCACGTACTTCTTCTTGTCGGTTCTAATGCTCCTCTTCACTTGCTTGTTTGCTTCTATGTATTCAGCTTGTGCTTGGACTTTCTCTACTCGTGTTCGGCTGTTGTTGATTGCTGTCTTCTTGTTCTTCCTTGCTTTGATCCTGTCCAGTGTTTCTACAGAGATCCATTCCTTATGATGATACTTCTTGAGGCCTAGAACCTCTTGACACGTTGAAGTTAATGTTTCTTTGATACCTTTCCAGTTGTCCTCCATAGTAGTTTCTTCTTCTTTCAGTAGATCCTGTAAGGTTTGGAACCCGTTGTTGAGATCCATCTTGAATTCATTGAGTTTGTCGGTATCTCGAAGGAAGGCTGTATTGAACCTTTGTAATGCTGTTTGTCCAGTTGTCCAGTTCCTTCTTAGCTTCAGTTTTAAATTGGCCACAACTAGGTGGTGATCTGAATCTATGTCAGCTCCTCTCCTGGTTCTCACATCTTCCATTGTTCTTCGGAACTTTTTATTGATGGAGATATGATCTATCTGGTTCTCTGTAGTGTGGTCCGGTGAGATCCATGTAGCCTTGTGTATACGCTTGTGTGGAAATATTGTGCCCCCTATGACCAATCTGTTGAATGCACACGGATTTGCAAATCTTTCCCCATTTTCGTTTCTCTCTCCCAGTCAATCCATGTCGTCCCATGATATCTTCATATCCGGTGTTGTCTATTCCGACTTTGGAGTTTAGATCTCCCACCAGAATGGTAAGGTTCTTTCTTGGGCGTTTCTCTATGATTGACTGCAGCCTTTCATAGAATTGATCTTTAATGTCGTCGTTGCTATCATTGGTGGGTGCATAACACTGGATAATATTTATTGTGATCCCCTCCTTCTTTGTTTTGAATGATGCTTTGATGATTCTGGATCCGTGAGATTCCCATCCTACAAGTGCATTTCGTGCTACTTTGGACAGCATTAGAGCGACTCCCTGAGTGTGTGGAGCATTTTCGTCTTCATGACCGGAGTATAGCAGCATCTCTCCCGTATCTAGCCTTTGTTGTCCAGCTTGGCTCCAGTGGGTTTCGCTGATTCCCAGTAATGCTAAGTTGTATCTCTTCATTTCCATTGTTCGAACGTTCCATGTACCTACAAAAATTTTTGCTCTGGTTGTTAGAAGGGGCATCGGCCTCGTGGCTTCCGAAGGAACTCGGCTTTCACCATGAAGCGTCATAATTCTTCTAAATGAAGACCTTCTAACTTCCAGGGCAGAGTTAAAATGGTTTGAATTATTTTTTCTGGTAAGCGTTTTTTTAGCGAGTTAGTTTTCTACGGGATGGGGACGCTAACCCCATGCCTAAACCTCCTCCTTTACCCAGGTTTGGGACCGGCAGTAACTCTAGAAGAGCAACAGGCGGAGTTTCATGATGAGATACATTCATAATAAAATCAACAAGAATGGCGAATCATCTTTGCAAAACAGTTGGTGATTAGTTGATTCATTAGGAAAGTAATTAGATTTTTTTATAAATAGATTATTGGTGTTATTTTAGTTGCATATACATACTGTGCATCAATATATGACGCACTTTAACTTTACAGTGCAAGCTGTTCTTTTAGTTATGACCTTTTGATTGTAAATTATTCAAGTGATACTTGCACTGCTACTTAACAAAGTTCAGAATAGACTATAGTTATCTGTTTATCTAGGTGACAATGTTTCAGTGTCTGATTGTCGATTGTTACTTGTCCACAAAAAGAAAATAGTCTAGGATGAAAAAGATACTCAGTACTGATATCAGCTATAAATTAACTATCTTAGGAAATGCCTTATACAACAATGCTTAAGGTATGGGATTCACTATTTTACCCATTACTATGTTACAAGCAAATCACCTTCCGTATAACTGAGCCTTTCAGCGAATAATTCATTTCAGAATAGCATAACATTTTGCATTGATAGAATCTAAAAAAGTTAAAGATATGAAGCGTGCCAACTATGTTCATTGTTATTAATACCTTTATTAGATGTAACTTTTTAAGTGACTACTGAAAATACATAACAGAAATCTCATGTGCACAAGTTCACGAAAACTCATGGTGTGACATTTTACCGCGATGTTCACATTTTTCAGCGATTTGTAACAGTTCTATTCAATTTAATAATTGAGTATTGAACAACTCAGCTATCAATACTAAAAGATCAATCAATATGTGGTTGGGTAGATAAATTGTTTAGTGAGACTATCATTTGTGGACGACCTTTGAGCGACGTTCAAGTGACCTTGAGAGTGAACACATACTGATTAGGACTAAATGAGGGTTATAAACCAGTTAGAATTTTCATTTACAGTTGATGGTTAGGGCTAAAATTCGATTTTGGGTTTTCATCACGACATGACATCAGCTTTAATGCGAAAACTCTATTTAGAGAAATGTATGAATGAATTTCGCGCTAAAATTCATGACTCATTATCATTTATCTGATTGGTTCGTCCATAAATTATAGTCTCGCTGTATAAATACTTTAACACATTTTGTTCTATTTCGGTTGCACAAATACTCCACTTGATGAGAGGTTAGTGAAATAATATGAATTCATATCGTACTGATGAAGTCGTAGTTCATCCGATGTTAATAAAGAAAACTATGTCAATAAAACAGTATATTTATTCATATTATTGCATTCAATCATATAAATAGGTGTTAATAATACATTTGCAAATTAAGCTCTTACTGATCACCACTAATTGGTAAATCAATTCTAGCCATCGTAAACTGAACACAATTACCAATAGATAAAGGTTTATTTATTTATGTGCCAATTAGTTCTTAATGATTCAAGGAATAATTTCTCCAGAGGAAATAAATCTTTGGAAAAATTATCTATTCATAACAATATAATAAATATATTCACTTATATGCATAAGAACAGCACATAAGCCTCCGATAATCATAAATAACAATGGTCCGTTCATTTGTTTTAAACGTATTGGAATTTTTGAATTTCTGTCTTCTTTTGTTACGCATAAATTGTTATGTACTTGAAGTTTAGTTGTAAAGTCAAATGCCTGTTCATTTTTATATTGTATGCTGTAGAGTCTTCCAGAATCCTGTAAGTACTTGAAAATATGATATGGGAAAACAGATAGGAAGAAACTATTTAAAATAATGATAGATTTGAAAGGACAAATAACAATTAATTTATAGAGGACTGCATAGTTTAAAATATCTAATTATTATTAGTCTATGGTGAGAAATATAAATTATTAACCAGATTTTTATCAACTATTTAGTTAAAAGGGGTCAGTAACTATTTGAAGATATATTTATGATATCCCCCCATGAGTAGTAATTTGAACTTCTGAAACTTCATGACCTAATGTAAACTACTTCTTCGAAATAAACAAATAAATAACCGAACTAACTCATCACAAGTTTGGACAACACATAGGAAAAAGAGCTGAATGTTTTTGATACAGTCAAAACTAAAATATGTCCGAATATATCAATGTTATTCTATTTTTAGTCAAGTTGATTCTGTGTGAGACATCACTGAGTTTATGTGTATTTGATGGTAGGTATAAAAAAAGTGAAATTATAATGTGAAAGGGTACAGTTAAAATTTGAGTTTGTTTGTTTGTTAATTGTGGGTGAAATGAACAGAACTGAATGTGGTTAATTAAAAAAACATCCCAATTCGGATGAAGATTCTGCCCTTTTTTCTATTGAGGGCAAAGGGATTTTGGATTATATGATACGTCTTAAGAATACTTATTTCCCCATTCAGTTCACTTTATTCCTATTAATAAAATGATCAGTAGAATTAGTAGTTGGAATAAAATGGTCACGATACTATTAGGACTGATAAAAGAGATCATAAAAATTAATGACCCAGATTTATTGATAAAAATACAAAATCTTGAATTTAGGAATTTACAAAAACTAACGAATGTTCGTGCTAAAACGTTAAACTGACCGAAATGAAGTCAATAAAAGTAGCTAATGAAATATGCTTACATTTTACGCAACCAGTCACCTGTATAATAAAATTTCAAAAAATACTAGGTTCTTTCTACTTTATTTTTAAATTAAACATACCATGCTGTTATCCTATAAACAACTTAGTAACTGTGTTTCAATTTGTAATAACTGTAATTAACGTGTAATGAATCTGATCAGCAGCTTGATTTGAATAATAGTGAATATGATGATGAAATTTGAAAAAAATATGTAAATTACAATCAGGTTTAAACTAACCTATTAACATTAATGTTAAAGCAAGATTGTAGCCTGATATGTTGTGATTTCCCAGGTAGCACACACATATACACAAACGTTAGGCAACTGGACGTAACTTTTGAGGAAAGTTTGGACTCAATATGAAATCTATTTCGCTAATAATTCAGATGGATTGTGCAGATTAGGTGAATATTCATTAAATCTTTTTCTTCATTTACAGATATCAATTGCGGAACCCTTAGAAATCAAGAAGTGGTCACAAACTAGGTCGAGATAGCTATCCACTATTGTCAGGTTCTCAATAGTTCACAAGGTGAAGTCAATACGCGAATAATTGTTTTTAGCCATCCATTAACAAAACTATTTCATGGTTATTTTGAAATTTTCAAACATTAAACTCACTTTCAAGTATACATTCATTTTCCAGAGTGATTTTTCACTGAATGTTAAAAATCCCATTTCCATTAGAGGCATATCTTGGAAATTTCCACTGTCATTAACAATCTCACCATTATCTTTTTCATCTTCATTACAATCTAACTTAATATAATTCCAATCAGTATTTCGATGTTTTAATGATTGTAGATAATGACCATGAATATGATCTGTTAATATTATCACTGATGTATTTATCTCATCTGATGAAAGTTTCCCGTTTACCAATTTCATTGGAAAAGAGAACTTCTTTTCAAAATAATTACATACATTTGGATTTAAATCACAATAGATTGCTTGGTTCTGATTGTTTAAATAAGGATGATATTTCAAGTCATTATCGGTATACTGTTTGAAAATCAACACTGATGTACCCATTGCATAGGCAATAATGCATATTAAACAAAATGCATGCCAGAATAAAGTTATTGTTATTCCGCCCCATGATTTAGGCAATTTGTATGAGGCTAAATTTCAAAGAAAAATATTAAGAGTGTGATAATACTGTTAATATTTCATTGTAAGACCTATTTAAAAATTAAAAGTGGTTTATAATACTTCAATGAAGTTTATCCACCTTTTAGTTTTCCTCTGCACTTAAGTTTAAAAGAAAAATGAAGTAGTTGATTGACAGATATGTTCAAAAAAGAAGCATTTCACACAAAATAGGCTTAAATTTATAAATACATATCCGCTTTCGAAATCAATAGACTTTTGAATATAGTCCCTGTAATTGGTTAGCAAACTCCGCGTGTAGCTCTTCTAGAGTTACTGCCGGTCCCAAACCTGGGTAAAGGAGGAGGTTTAGGCATGGGGTTAGCGTCCCCATCCCGTAGAAAACTAACTCGCTAAAAAAACGCTTACCAGAAAAAATAATTCAAACCATTTTAACTCTGCCCTGGAAGTTAGAAGGTCTTCATTTAGAAGAATTATGACGCTTCATGGTGAAAGCCGAGTTCCTTCGGAAGCCACGAGGCCGATGCCCCTTCTAACAACCAGAGCAAAAATTTTTGTAGGTACATGGAACGTTCGAACAATGGAAATGAAGAGATACAACTTAGCATTACTGGGAATCAGCGAAACCCACTGGAGCCAAGCTGGACAACAAAGGCTAGATACGGGAGAGATGCTGCTATACTCCGGTCATGAAGACGAAAATGCTCCACACACTCAGGGAGTCGCTCTAATGCTGTCCAAAGTAGCACGAAATGCACTTGTAGGATGGGAATCTCACGGATCCAGAATCATCAAAGCATCATTCAAAACAAAGAAGGAGGGGATCACAATAAATATTATCCAGTGTTATGCACCCACCAATGATAGCAACGACGACATTAAAGATCAATTCTATGAAAGGCTGCAGTCAATCATAGAGAAACGCCCAAGAAAGAACCTTACCATTCTGGTGGGAGATCTAAACTCCAAAGTCGGAATAGACAACACCGGATATGAAGATATCATGGGACGACATGGATTGACTGGGAGAGAGAAACGAAAATGGGGAAAGATTTGCAAATCCGTGTGCATTCAACAGATTGGTCATAGGGGGCACAATATTTCCACACAAGCGTATACACAAGGCTACATGGATCTCACCGGACCACACTACAGAGAACCAGATAGATCATATCTCCATCAATAAAAAGTTCCGAAGAACAATGGAAGATGTGAGAACCAGGAGAGGAGCTGACATAGATTCAGATCACCACCTAGTTGTGGCCAATTTAAAACTGAAGCTAAGAAGGAACTGGACAACTGGACAAACAGCATTACAAAGGTTCAATACAGCCTTCCTTCGAGATACCGACAAACTCAATGAATTCAAGATGGATCTCAACAACGGGTTCCAAACCTTACAGGATCTACTGAAAGAAGAAGAAACTACTATGGAGGACAACTGGAAAGGTATCAAAGAAACATTAACTTCAACGTGTCAAGAGGTTCTAGGCCTCAAGAAGTATCATCATAAGGAATGGATCTCTGTAGAAACACTGGACAGGATCAAAGCAAGGAAGAACAAGAAGACAGCAATCAACAACAGCCGAACACGAGTAGAGAAAGTCCAAGCACAAGCTGAATACATAGAAGCAAACAAGCAAGTGAAGAGGAGCATTAGAACCGACAAGAAGAAGTACGTGGAAGAACTATCAACGACGGCAGAAAAAGCTGTTAGAGAAGGAAATATGAAACAGCTTTACGATACAACGAAGAAACTAGCAGGGAAATATAGTAAACCGGACAGACCGGTAAAGGACAAAGAAGGTAGGCCAATCACTGAAATTCAACAACAGCGGAACAGATAGATAGAATACTTCGAGGAACTCCTGAACAGGCCGGCTCCAATGAATCCACCGGACATCGAAGCAGCATACACAGATCTTCCCATAGACGTCAACCCACCAACGAAGGAAGAAATCATAATGGCCGTCAGACAAATCAAGAGAGGGAAAGCAGCAGAACCCGACAATATACCAGCTGAAGCACTGAAATTAGACATCGAAGTAACCACAAGCATACTTTACCCTCTATTCAAAAAGATTTGGGAGGAGGAACAAGTGCCGATGGACTGGAAAGAAGGACACCTCGTCAAGATTCCAAAGAAAGGAGATCTGAGCAAATGTGAATACTACAGAGGCATTACACAATTGTCTGTACGAGGGAAAGTCTGTAACAGAGTGTTGCTGAACCGGATAAAAGACGCAGTAGACAGCCAACTTCGAGATCAACAAGCTGGATTCTGTAAGGATCGGTCGTGCACAGACCAAATGAAGACATTACGGATCATCGTCGAACAATCAGTTGAGTGGAACACGTCACTATACATCAACTTCAATGATTATGAAAAGACATTTGACAGTTTGGATAGGAGAACGTTATGGAAACTTCTTCGACACTACGGAGTTTCTGAGAAGATTGTTAATATTATCTGGAACTAATAAGACGGACTACAGTGCAAAGTAGTGCATGGAGGACAGCTGACAGATGCATTCCAAGTAGGGACCGGAGTCAGACAAGGCTGTTTACTCTCTCCCTTTCTCTTTCTTCTGGTGGTCGACCGCATTATGAAGACATCGACATCTGAAGGAAAACACGGAATACAATGGACATGTCAGAATCGATTAGACGAATTGGACTTCGCAGATGACCTAGCCCTCCTATCTCATACATACGAACAAATGCAGATAAATACAACCAGTGTAGTAGCAGTCTCTGCATCAGTAGGCCTCAGCATACACAAAGGGAAAACCAAGTTCCTCAAATTCAAAACGGAGAACAGCAATCCAATCACTCTTGATGGCGAAACTATGGAAGATGTAGAATCCTCCACATACCTGGTTGGTGGCATTATCGATGAACAAGGAGTTTCAGATGCAGACGTAAAGGCGAGGATTAAGAAAGCAAGGGCCGCACTCCTTCAATTGAAGAACATATGAAACTCAAAACAACCGTCAACCAATATCAAAGTCACAATCTTCAATACGAACGTCAAGACAGTCAGTTCTACTGTACGGAGCTGAAACTTCGAGAACTACAACAACCACCATCAAGAAGGTACAAGTATTTATAAATAGGTGTCTACGCAAGATACTCATCATCCATCGGCCGGATACTATCAGCAATAGCCTTCTCTAGGAGAGAACAAACCGACTTCCAGCTGAAGAAGAAATTAGGAAAAGACGATGGAACTGGATAGGACATACATTACGCAAATCATCAAACTGCATCACGAGGCAAGCACTAACTTGGAATTCTGAAGGGAAGCGGATAAGAGGAAGGTCAAAGGATGAATTACAACTGGAAGGAGCTGGGAAGGATTATCCAGGACAGGGTTGGATGTAGAATGCTGGTGAGCGGCTTATGCTCCTTCACGAGGAGTAACAGGCGTCAGTAAGTAAGTAATTGGTTAACAAGTACGTGATGAACTGTAATAGCTATTGATTGTTATTCGATTGAATAACCTTTTATACTGCGATCAACAAGTTATTGAAAGAGCATAGAAGTTAAAAGAAATTAATTTTTGATGTTTCCAGTCTGCTGCTGTGTTCAGTGATACCGCTGTGTATTGTTAAGTTAAGTTATCTAGCCAAGAAAGCGAAGTTAGAAAACATACATCTAACTTTGTACTAAGATATTTTCAATGTATTGTAATTAGTTAAGAAAAAGAAAAAAAGATTTATGATAACTATAATAACACAGAATGAAGTATTTGATCACTATATCTTACAACCAAATGTGTACAAAAGAAATTCATAAAACCTTTTCTTCCATTATCTTCTTAATCACTTACGATTTCTTCATTCTTCTTTCACAGCCATTCACTCCTCTTCTATCATTTTCGCTTTAGACCTTTAATTCCTTACTAATTTGTTGCTGCATTGACGATCTTCTTAGCTACATTTCACCTCAATTATAACATTTTATTATCTCACAACGAGAAATTCCTTTTCAATTATATTTAAAATTAGCAAAAATGTATTCAGTCTCATTTACAAGAGATTTTCGGGAAAAAATATTTTTCTGATATATTATTTGACCGTTGTATAATAGTATATAGCTATCTTTTGCAAGTATTTTAATGGTGTATTTTTACGGTAATGTATTTTATGTCAGAAGCTGACTTCAGCTGGTGATCCATTAGAAATCAGGTAGGAGTGGACAGCTTTCTCATCACGGTTTAAAATTCTTTAACGATACTAATCTCACATTTTAACATGGCATAAAATTCACAACCTTCATGTTTTGAGCCACCCATTCCATCTTTCATGTGATAATCGGGTATATACACTATAAAACAGTACCAAAATAAGATAAATACAGCTTTCCAGTCATCTTGTGGTCAGTGCTTCACAGGTGTTTGCGTGAATTATGATACAAATGTACTTTCAAGGTGTATTGATTTCTCACCAATGCATTTTGGTAAAGTAATTTATTTCATCAATCAACTGCTATTCTTGAAACTAAACTGCATAGCATATCAAATTACTTTCCCGAAGGGAATTGCTATGTTGACGAATTTTTCGATAAATGGTTAATGGCAGCTAAAATAGTTCATTTGTTTGTCAAAAATGATATAATTTCAAACAATATTATAAAATCGTATAAATATATTAGAAATATCCATGTGATCTATGCTTATATGTTAAACTATATTCGTTTATAAATAAAAACCAGAATTACTCATCAAATCAGATCAAAACATTTTGAAGTTTAAATCACCGAATGATCTTAGATAGATTACTAGTGAAAATCATTTAGGACTGGATGACCGTCTCATGTGGCTCTTCATAAGGGAATCGCATCATACGTAAAGGTTTAAGCTATATACCAAATATTTTGGTTTAGAATAGCGTCTTTGAAAATAATTAATTAGTTGTGGTATTTAGGAAGATGGTCAGGTCACAGAAATTTGAACACTCAACTATAAGTATGCAATCGACTTCATTGTAATTGTTGAAGGCGGAAGTCATATTAATGGTTTGAATTTTTTAATGAAAAAAGCGAATTCACCAATAGTTTTCAACCTTAAAAGGGTTGCCATCCTTCTTGCAGACTGGGTATTATTCAAAATCAGATAATGATAGTTTTTCATTGATTATTACCTTTATTATGGTTTAACTTTTATTCAAAATGTGGCACCAAAGTACGAGTAATATTTTTTTTTAAAAAGACATACAACTCCATTTTAGATTTGTACCGATTCAGATATTAATATTTATTAAGAGAAAATTTCTAGTGATTTTATTTTGCTGGCAGTGTTACATATGAAAGTGAATAACTCGTCGGCCAAAACTTACGTCACAGGCATTCAAAACAATTAATCCCCATTATAAAGTATGAAAGTTTTGATGTTTATACACAATGCTGATTGGTTTGTACTTTAAAGAGTGCTTAAGTCGAATAACAATTTCATGCCATCAAGCTTGTACACTGTCTTATCTCTAACTTGAATGCTAGTTATGTCATAACTACTAAAGTACTTATTGAGCAAAACTTAAAACTATTTCTTCTACTTATTATAATAGTGTAATGAGAAGACAGAGTTGATTTGAAAAAAATATTATGTATTTGCGGCACAAATTTTAAACGGAGTAATTACCCTAGTCAGTCAGTCAGTCAGTAACAACGTAGAACTTCGTACGTACGTACATCAGTTCGAGTTGCCACACCACATCAGTACAGAGATGCACTTGTCGATTCAAATCCCGTAGTGGTAGAGGTAATAAGAGTATAAGCAGTAATCGGAAAGATTACGGTTTAAAGATGTTATTCAAAGAGTATAATCCAATGAAATAAATTTGGAAAGCGAAAAGAGCGGGACATGAAAAATTCAGAAGATTAGAATTTGGGAGAACACAGAGAGTGGATGCACCTGCGTCATTGCAAACGATTTTGAGCCATGTCATTCAGGGTCTCCAACAATCGGTTGCTGTCATTTCGCGGTCCCCAACCAGATAGTCTACACCTACCAACATGACTCAGTCCACTTGTCAGTGACTTCATGGACTTGTGCCATGTTTTGGTTTGGCCGCCCCTAGCTTTCTTCCAACCTACTCCTATACCACTGAACATAGCACGTCGAGGTAGTCGGTCGTTGAGCATACGTAACACGTGTCCCAGCCATCTCAACTGATGAAGTTTCACTACTTCATCAATTGATTTGCCATCCTTACCTAGTACCCGTTTCCTAACAACTGTGTTACTTACTCGGTGGTCCCAGGATATACGAGCAATGTTTCGAAGACACCTATGATCGAATACTAGTAACCTACGAATATCCTCCACTCTTACCGACCATGTTTCACTGCCATAAAGTAGGACGGAACGAACTGCTGCGCAGTAAACACGTCCTTTGGTTGGTAGACGGATATCTCGCCTACGCCATAAATGACGCAAGTTGGCGAAAGCTAGTCGAGCCTTCTGTATCCGTGCTGAGATTTCGTCACACACCAGACTACAAGGGCTGATGAGACTTCCAAAATAAGTGAAGCGATCGACATGCTCAACTACTTCACTCCCTATCATTAGTTCGGGTGTCGATGCAACCCAATCCTGAAGCAACATTTTGCATTTTGAGGGGGAGAATCGCATCCCGAACATGCTTGCATTGTTGCTTATGGTGGTCAGAAGACTCTGCATTTTGTTAACGTCTTCACCAAATAGAACTATGTCATCAGCATATTCTAAGTCAACAAGTGAACCTCCCGGTAGAAGTTCAACCCCTGGAAATTTAGATGAGGAGAGTGTTATCTCTAAAAGTACGTCAATGACAAAGTTGAACAAGAATTACCCTAATTTCCTACACATATATCATGGGAAGTATGTCTTTGACCAGATTTTTCGAAATTTATAGCACAAACCAGGAAATTATTTATTTTTCATATTACACAACGAGTACGAAAGATTTGCCTAAATGAGTATACACCATGACATTCAAAAATTTGCTCTGTCGGATTGGCATTATTGATTGTTTAATTCCGCTATTATTTACTTTCCAAATGCTTGACTAATCCAACTAGACTAGGGAAGAAGATAAAACGGCTTATGTTGGAATATTATCGAATACTGAATGAATATACCCACAAATTTTGTGTAGATCTAAGCTTACAAACAAAACTAAACATTTATGAAGGTTAGGTGAACAATCCACCTATTCAGCTTAGCTTCCGTAAAGCTGGATCTAAATTTTCGTAAAACCATAGAGAAATTGTGTAACCTGAATTCGTTCATTTTATCAAGCATTCATCTTATTTGAAATCATCATGGAAAACTAAAATCTAAGTTCAAGTCACTTAGATGTTTAATTAAAAGCTTAGCCGAAATAGTATCTAAATCACATATTAAATCATAGAATAATCATTCTATGCTTAACTACATATTTTTGAAAATGTATAAAATTTTGTAAAAAAAAACTCAGTGTGAATGAACAGTGTAACATTGTTAACTAACTACTTGAAGATTATTGATGTGGGTGTTTTTCATAGAGATTCAGTTAGAAGCTGAAAATTTACTAACGTCATCTGTGATTGTCTATGTGACATTAGTTCAGATTTCATAGAATCTTCGAAGTCGCTGATTAATCTTGCTGATAAATCTTAACATGTCCAACCATTAAATTATAATATGCGTTTACTTCATTTCAGCATTGACTTCAATATGGTACGTTCACTGATTGATCGCAGAGTAGTAAGCAATATTAAGTTTGTCTAGTTCATTGTTGCGATTAAATTTATCAATCATGTTGCCCAAATCCCACATAGAGTATCAGTAACCTTATTGTTATAGGTACATCTTTCAGACAAGAGATAACTGGTACAAAGCCTGAATCTCACTCTCAATGTCGACCGTCATAAGCCACTTATTGTAAGCGGTGGATCTACCATAGGCCTCATGAAAAATATTTACATGCTGTTCAAGTTAAATCCAACGCTTTGTGAGTTTTGTCATTTTTTATGCTAAGAGACAGTACATTTAAGGAAAAAAATAAGAGATAATGGTACAAAACAATTGGATAAATACCAATAGTTAACGATGTTCTTCAATATAAATCACGATTCCAACATATGAGTCATTAGTTAAAACACGTTTCTGTAAACAGATAACCATATCACAACAGGACAGATACCTATTAATAATATTCTTAAACACTGTAGATGACGTACTGACACTACCAGATAAATCAATTACTTACATTGTAAGAATAATCCCATAATAACGTACACGTATGAATCCCATAAATTTAAACTTGGTTCATTTGAAGGTGAAATTTTTGTATATTTCTCACATGAGGGTCTTGTATACTCGAACACAAATAACAATGAACCAGTCTGTTTAAATATAAAATTTGAGGTGATGAAGAAATGTACATAAGTTTTGGTCATTCCAAATAGCAAGAAATTATTAATCAATCAGAAATTATTATAGTTTATGACATCCATTTTACTTGAATACAAGATCGAAACTAATGAGTTTATGTAATTCATACGAAACTTTAATCTGCAAACTTTTAGTTTTTATTATAAGGTGATCTCAACGATACAATTGTGTCATTATTAGTTGTTATTAACAACTTTCACCCTTAAAATTCTATACATTTTTCGTCTTAACTGGATCATTTGCTTAATTTCCTCTCGTTCTTTTCTCTTTCAGAATCCTACAAAATGTTCTGTATACTCTCTTACCAAAGTGTACTTTCATGTTAGACATAAATCTATCAAAGGCTAAACATTATCTCATATCACATGGCATGTATGGTCTATATGTTCTACCACAGTTGGAAAAACACAATTTACTCAAATATGAACTGTGGAAAGGTGTTTTCATTGCAGACTTATTTTCCTTCCCGTGTCATAGCATATATTAAAATTTCTAATTTAAAGTTGATCACAAGTGGTTTCAATAAAGTTATGTTTGAGATTAGATCTGAAGATTCGATTTCCGATCCTAGGTAAAACTTTGAATGTAAATTACTAAATGATAACAAACGATGATCAGTTATTTTTTTAATTTCGACAGTTCGTAAACTTATTTCATCATTTAACAAAAATCACATTTAAATTATAGGTAATCTCCACAAACACAAGCAACCCAATAAAAATCACAATAACTTTGAAAATAGTTCAATACAAATGAATACTTATTAATATTATAGCAATGTATACTTACTGTCAATGTATATAGTAGAATTAATGACCAAATAGATGAATGGAATGTATATAAAAAATACATTCCGTTTAAAAATGATGAATCTAATTGACTTGAACAATTATTTTTGAAACATTTCATAATTAATACTGGTTTGAGTTGAGTAAATGATCTAGTTATGTAAGGCAATGTATGTTTATTATTTACAAGGGTTAATGAACTATTTTCCATGTTCATTAGAATATCAGAAGAGAATTGAAAAAGACATAAGCTTTGATTGTTGGTTAAAAGCTAAATGAAAGATAAATTTTTTTAAAAAAAAGTGGTTTTGAAAATATGATAAGTTCAACAACAGAAGTATTTACCTAAATATCTGCTGTCTTATCTAGTACTTTAATGAAGAAAGAAAATAATTATAACATGCATTTTTATTTAATATATTGAACAATGATTTTGAAGGCTAAGAAACAGAGAGCTTCAGATAATTTTTACTTTTTAGATTGAGACTTTTAAGAGACTCAGATAAACGAGGCTTTAAAAAAGTGCTAAACCACTTGATAACTGAATTCAAACTCAGTTTCTAAAGGTACCTAGTTACTGAAGAAACTTGAAGCTCATGTACTTGAAGTCATGGATGGACACCAAAAAGTACAAATCTATAAAAAAAAGTGTCAATTATACCTTGATTTTCCGTCGATGGAAGTCTATAATGAAAACCGAATTACAAGAATAAGTATCTGAAATTATACCCAGGTTTGACTGTTCTTATTAGTAGCTATTCCTCAGATAAAATATAACACCAGTTTCTGAACAACAAGTCAATAGCAGTTTGATATGATAATTGTTCAAACAGAATTATATTATTGGTGTAAATGTTGACTTACACATCAATATTAGTTTCTGTCAATACATGGGTTTTTAAATATAAATAAAATGGATAGAATGCATTTGCGTGGTTGTTCTATTCAATTTCTCTCCCTTCCTCTTTCTTCTGGTGGTCGACAGCATTATGAAGACATCGACACGGCATATAAAGGACAGACCAGAACCAATTAAACCATTTGGACTTCGCAGATGACCTAGCCCTCCTATCGCATACATACGAACAAATGCAGATAAATACAACCAGTGTAGTAGCAGTCTCTGCATCAGTAGGCCTCAACATACACAAGGGGAAAACCAAGTTCCTCAAATTCAAAACGGAGAACAGCAATCCAATCACTCTTGATGGCGAAACTATGGAAGATGTAGAATCCTCCACATACCTGGTTGGTGGCATTATCGATGAACAAGGAGTTTCAGATGCAGACGTAAAGGCGAGGATTAAGAAAGCAAGGGCCGCACTCCTTCAATTGAAGAACATATGAAACTCAAAACAACCGTCAACCAATATCAAAGTCACAATCTTCAATACGAACGTCAAGACAGTCAGTTCTACTGTACGGAGCTGAAACTTCGAGAACTACAACAACCACCATCAAGAAGGTACAAGTATTTATAAATAGGTGTCTACGCAAGATACTCATCATCCATCGGCCGGATACTATCAGCAATAGCCTTCTCTAGGAGAGAACAAACCGACTTCCAGCTGAAGAAGAAATTAGGAAAAGACGATGGAACTGGATAGGACATACATTACGCAAATCATCAAACTGCATCACGAGGCAAGCACTAACTTGGAATTCTGAAGGGAAGCGGATAAGAGGAAGGTCAAAGGATGAATTACAACTGGAAGGAGCTGGAAATGATTATCCAGGACAGGGTTGGATGTAGAATGCTGGTGAGCGGCTTATGCTCCTTCACGAGGATTAATAGTGGTAAATAAATAAGTAAGTCTATTCAACTCATTCATTGTGTTCTTCCTAAAACAAGCAATGGACATAAGTTTCGTTCCATAATGTGACTCCTCAGCTGTGCACGTCCGTGACCCCACCGTAAGTTTTCAAGTCAAATAATATCACGATTTTCATTGTTGAGAAATTCAATGATGCGCATGGAACTCTACGCTATTCACTTGATAGTAGTCAACGCGATACTGACTTTATCGATTAGTGAAACGTGTAACGATAATAAAAATAATTTAATTCACTACATGAGTCATCTAATTATGCAAATCACTTTATATTCAATATTATGATATTCCTTTCAAATATTGATCAAGCATTAACCATCTTCATAGGACGGTGCTATCTATCACCCATAAGTTAAACTCTTTAAGGCTTTCATTGATGGGGATATACAGTTAACGATTAAAGTAGTTAATTTTAGTCTTCGCTTAAGATATAAGAGTTTAAAACTTAAAATAAATATAGTTTTCCTCACAGAACAACTGTTAATCCATTTAAAAATCAAAAAGCTCCTTCTATTAAAAAAACATTAGATATATTTTGAAAATATTCTTACCATACTGAGACAATATTCTACATCCGTAAGTGAAACATTCAGTCTAACTGGTATACTCTGAATTGAATATTGAACTTGTGATAGATTGTCAGCAGTTAATAAGTCGACTAGCAGTCCTTTTACAGTAGATTCGTTTTTCTTTGTGTGCTCTATGAATTCTGATAACTTTAAGCAATTAAAAGCGATTTTTGTATTGGAAAACACAATCATATATTATTACAATGATACGAATCGCTACTATAAATAAAGACTTATGAAACATTATGAGTTGAGACTTAAGGTGAATTGGTCAGTTTCTACCGTTATTATACAAATGATTAGCATCGTTTTCAATAAATGATATTGAAGCTACCCGAGTACATTCAATTTATATGTTTTAAGAGAAATACTGTACGATATACAGGTTCCACCACTGTTTTTTTCATACTTCTATGATATCTTCGTTCAAAACCAGAGTTTTGTTTCCTTATAACGTTGTTTGATGTCAATAAATTTTTTCTTTATATTTTTGAATAATGGCTAGAAGTGAAATCCCGTTACGTTATTTCAACGTATCTTCATCTTAATGTTGATGATTTGACTGAAACTCAGCGGAAACAACAGGAAAACACAAACCTGTTAAAAAATAATAAAGATCATATCCGTTGAACATTTGGGTAGGCATCGTGACTCATTTACTTAGTGGACAGAATGAATGTGTTGGACATTAAAATGCCAAATAAATCGAATTCTGTCGTTTTCAGAATTATTCAGGAAAGAAATATTCCAGCTATCAATTTTATTCTACTAACGCAGTCTGTTCATATTAGAAAAACATCTAAGACCGTTTCCACCTCATTCAATGCTTCTCCATCAAGTGTGATCGAGTTGGCGTTCTCCGAGTTAAGGTTTGAGGATGTTACTTCTTCCTTTGCGTATGTTGAAATCTACTCCTGAAAATGCTACTATTACACTGGCTATCCTCACATGTATTTCTTTGTGTGTATGGAATAGAAGAGATAGGTCATCTGCAAAGTCCACGTAGTCTAGTCGCATCTGGGCTGTCTATTGTATTCCATGATTCGCCCCAGATCTTGAGGACTTCATAATCCAAACGACTAACAGAAGAAATAGATAGGGGAAGAATGGGCAGTTTTGTCCGAATCCGGTCATTAAACAGAAAGCGTCTCCAAACTGTCCTCCATAAATGACTTGGCAGTGTATTCCGTCGTATGAAATCTTCATGCTGTTAGCGATGTTCTCGGCTACTAACACTACAGTATCGGAGAACGATCCACAGGGTTCTCCTATCCACACTGTTAAACTCTTTGTCATAATCAAGGAAGCTGTTCTCCAATCCCAGTGATTAGCTTGCCTCCTCTGTCCTTGATTGTTCCCTCTGGTTTACCATATTACCTTGCTCGCCTCCTCGTTGTATCATTCAGTTCTCATATATATTTCCTTTCCTACCAGCTTGTTACGATGCTAGATCTTCAATGCATTTCTCCTTGTCATCACTAATGCTCCACTCCACTTACTTGTTTACTTCTGTGTATTCAGCTTGTGCCTTGACTTTCTCTGTTCTCGTTCGATTGTTGTTAATTGCTCCCTCCTTCAGATTCGTTTCTTGAATCTTTATCACGCTTCCCATAGAGATTCATTCTTGACATCCAGCACCTACTCACACGTTGAAGTCAGTGCTTCTTTCATCCCTCTCCAGTTGTTCTCCATGGCAGTTTCTTCTTCTTTCAGTAGATCTTGTAAGGCTTGCAACCTATTGTTGAGAGCGATCTTCGATTCATCGAGTCTATCAGTGTCTCGGAGGAAAGCTATATCAAATGTTCATAGTGATGTTTCTCCAGTTATGTAGTGTTGCTTCAGCTTCAGTTTCATCCTCGCCACAAACAGTTGGTGGTGAACTGAAGCTATGTCTGCTTCTCTCGTGGTTCTCACTTCTTCCATGAATCTTCTAACTTTTTTATTGATGCAAATATGATCGATCTGGTTCTGTGTAGTATGATCCGTTGAGACCTATGTAGTCATGTGTATGCATTTAATGAATTCACATAAATTTGCTAAGCTCTCGTCATTCGAGTTTCTTTCTCTCAGTCAGTCCATGTCGTCCCATGATATCTCCCTACCCGATGTCGTCCATATCAGCACAGCAAGATGAGATTATCAAAATGAATACTAAAGTAGTGAGTGCAGCAGAACCAGTTGTAGTAAATGTAGTTAGGTATACGGAATACGGTTCAAGAAAAAAAAGTTAGTTTTCGGAATTAAGCTTAAAAAATAATTTTGAAACTCAGAATCTGAAGGGAAACAAATAGTAAATACACCTATATCACATCGCGCTCCATCTATCACAGTTAATTACGTTAATCACACAACTCCAACCAGATATCCTGAACTTATTAAGGTGACTCAATTCAGTGTTTAGTGGCTTAATAGACAGATGCTTCGTCTGAGTATAGCCTTCCTTAGTTTTTCCCAACCTATTCCTCCGCCGCCAGTCATCACATATCCACTTAGGGAACGGTCGATTATACGTCATACATTTCCAGGAATACAAGTCGATAGTAACACTTTGTAATTTGATGCTGTTAGCGTCAATGGTGAGTATGGAAATCGATGAAGTCATAGAAGATGATAGTGGGAATAGAATAAGTATTAAAAAGTGAGGAAGGTATTGATCTCGGACATGACCTTGAAAGCTACTAAAGCTATGAGGATGGTTATCTTTTTCAGATTTCAAAACCGTGGAAGGATATTATTCTTAAAGTGTCTGGAATGGGAACTGGGTTAACAGTGGTCATGTCAACCCATTATCGTGACTCCAGGCACCAAAAGTCAGTTACCTGAATCAGTTACATATGTCCACTGAATAAACGGTTTTCGGTGTGTTAGCTCGGGAGTTTCCATGCCTTTCTTCCAGAAACGGTAATCAGAGGAGTAAGGTTAATTTTGGTATCCTTAGGGTCAATTATTCTTACACCCCTAACCAAGTTGTACGAAGACAGCACCTGATAAACTTTATAAATATCAACAGCTTACTTATTATCTTATGGACATTGTTCAATCCATAATGAATAACATAGCGACCCCAATATTAATCTTTTAAAAGCAACAACCCTTCATTTGTTCACAGGTATTAAAATATGGATGGTTCTTTGATTAGCTCCACTAGCAATCATCGAAAATATGTCAGCTCTATTTTTGAACTCGGTGACAAAACACGACAAACTACAATTATCCAAGTGAGTTATATACCTATGTCTTACGGTTAATCTTGGCAATGACATTTGAATTTTGTTCTTCGACTTAACCTTAAGTGAAACGGAAACCTTAATTATTATCTAATGTAAATGCTAATTGATGCATATAAATGAATGACTCTCAAAAACAAAAAACTTCCAATGTCTCCAAGTGTAAGCTTGAATCTTGAAACTAGAAAATTATTCAAAAAAATGGATAATTTCATATTTTTTTAAAATTATAATAGTTGATTACTTACTTCAGGAATGAATACTGTTTGTGAATTTGTATGCACCATACCTTTATAAAAAATGTGCATATTTCATTATAACCTTTTTACTTACATTTCAATAAGAGAGCATAATATAATACCGAGTAACTTATTACCAATGGATTATGTTTTGTAGATAGTACCATTTCCATCATGATAGCAAATTCAAGGAATAACAAGATAGAATATTATCGACTATGAATTCTAGCGACTTGATAAAAATTCTTCTTATGATATCACAATATTTTTTATCATCTGTTTTAATCTATTGGTGTTGTAAATCCCAAAGCTTTCACGTTCCTGGAACAATATGATACTGTATACTCGGCTTTACAGTAACATTAGAAAACGAATAAGTTTGTGTGTGTATAACATAGAAATCAACACTGAGAGAGACAAATATTTACACATAAGATTTCAAATATAAACCTGACTGGTTTGATGTCTAATTTAAATTTAGCCATACACATTTTATGTACAAGTGGACACAAATTAATTCATTAACACAAAACTGTAAACATGCATATATCACTCATACTTTGTTTATGAATACATGATAATCAATAATAATGAAATTGGTTCGATATGCGATTGTTCGTATTAATTTGCTCTATTTATGTGTTGACACATTTACGTTGACGACAAAATCAATCCATAAATAAACCTTCACTATTTATTATTATTACTATTATTATTATCATTATTATTACTATTATTATTATTATTATTATCATATTAACACAACTTTAAAATAATTAATAGTTAAATAATAGGTCACGTTTTCCAGAAAATAAGTTTAATTTGATGTTGAAATCTCATCTACTTACAGAGTGAAACAAGTACAGAAATGTAATGAGTAAAAATGGTTTGGAAATAATTAAGGAATTCAAGCTAATTTCTAGGCATATTCATAATAATACATAAAACTATGTTACACGTGAAGGACAAAATTTTGCAATTAGATTTTCACAATTAAAATCGCGAATCTATCCAAGCTAGACCACCATTGAAAACATAGAAGCACTGGGCAGCTATTTTGTCTGTGTATGTTACTCTTCAGCTGTGCGCACCCAGAATCCCGCACAAGGAACTCAAACCAAGGATTTTCGTTCTCACGCACAAATACTTGAACTTGAAACCACTGCTCAAGCATACAACAACATTAATGCCTAACCTCACAAGGCCCCCTACTAATATCGATCATGTGTTCAGTAGCGACCAGCTCGAAGATGTCACTCCGGGAGTTCTAGTGAGAAGTCGTGACCAGTGGAATCCAATCCGCGTCGGGCGTGAGACTGTTATCCACCACAAGTAATGGACGAAGGGTTGTGCAAAGTCATAGTTTGATTGAATCTAGATATTAACGCTGTTGAATTCCAGGTCAGTTGTCTAAAGATAAGGCATTCGCGTGCGAGACCGAAAGTCTTGGGTTCCAGTTCCTCGTGCAGGATTGTGGATGTACGCAGTTGAAGAGTTTCATACTAGGGTGAAAAGACCACACAGTGCTTACAGATTTTCAATGGTAGTCTAGCTTGGATAGATCCGTGATTTCAACTACAATTTTAACAAATCACCTATATCAATATTAAATTGTTCGAAAATTTTTGTTTCACAAATTATTTTGAGATATTCATCATAGGAGTCGTAATAATGTGAGACAGCAGTTAGAAACCATTATTCTCAGTAGGAGGATTACAACATTTTATTGAAGTATAATCAATGTATCAAAGGGCGATTCCCGTACAGTTACAAAGTAATTGCAATTATTTAAAGCTAAAGAATAGGGAACGGAACAGAAAGCATGGAAAAACGGTAGCAAACAATTCTGTGGTAGGTCTTATATTATACATATGTTAGATTGGTTTATGACCTACTGATTGTGATAGATATTACCTTCATCAAATTCACTAGATACAGTGTAAGTGTATAACATCTCGAACATCGGAATTTTAAAATATATGCCCTGTAGCAACAATGATCAAACATTTAATATTTCTGTAATCTTATTAGTTTAGTGGGATCTATTCAATGGCGTAAACATTTCTAAATCACTATCGGAGGAGAAGTAAAAATCGATGCCAAAAAAACAAACGATAGCAGTGATTTGATTTCACGTACAGTTTACGTCATATTATTCCAGAGTTTCGAAAATCTACATATAAACCAACTCAATGATAGAGAAGATTTAGAATAAAACGTTTTCACTTTTGATACAGAGTTATGAATGATGTAATTAGGTGTTGCAGCATATTGAATTGTAGTACAGTTTGTGAAAGATGGTTCATATCGTTTTTTTGAAGAACAAGTTTCCGCTTCCATAAAGTAGTAGCCCAAGTTCAATGCACATGGCCTTTAATTTAAGGCACAATCATTTACAAGAATATGAAGTGTAAACTGCAGCTGGAGTATTTCTGATCCACATTTATCGTTTACTCAAACACTATTCAGAACAAAATTTCTATTTACTGGACAAATATTTTGTACATTTAAACACGCGAGTCGCTGTTGTAGAGGTTACGTAGTATACAACGCAGACGTCGTTGTGACGTAGAAGAGTATGTGAAAACTTGTTCTATGAAGTACAGATTGCGGGACTACCCAATTCAACCACTGTAGGACACATAGAAAATACCCTGACATCTATGGTGAAGCCAAAATCGAGAAGAAGATTACCAAAGTCGATCCCTTCAACTTAAACAATTATAAGTTCCCGATTCCTTTTTTGTGGATCACCAAGCGACGTTACTGAGTTCCACCTCATACAGTTTTGTTCATTGTTCAGCTCATGAAGAAAAAGAAAAACATTATTTTCAGACCACTAGCATATAGAAGTGACATACTCATACAAAAGCGATTGCAAATATTATTTATATAAGTTATAAAGAGCAAAAAACTTAGGACACTACTACCACTTTTGACAAAGTCACCATCCAATACGGAGCAATTCATTTCGAATATTTAGTGTCCATGACTGAGTAAGGAATTAACCCAAGCAAGCAGGTGACCTCTGATCCCTTAAGATGTGAGTTTTCATATAAGAGGCTGGTGGTTATCAATGCCGAAAGCTCTAGAAATATCAAACTAGCACCAAGACTAGTCATCCTAGACTACATTGAGTAAAAACTAAATTAAAGAAGTAATAGTGATGGGTCATACAGGATCAGGCTTTTAGGTATCCACTTTGCATATAGCTGAAAATGTCGTCAACACATTTTCCATTATCCTAAAGATAACTGTAAAAATATTTGTTAACCGATAATTTTCCGTTGGCTTTCCCACTAGATTTATGCCACGGTATAATATATGCGGTTTTCCAACAGTAAGGATAATTCCCTGTTCTCAGAGAGGGAGATAGAGATTAAACAGTTTTAGAAGTAGTGAAATTTTAAACGTACAATATTTGAAGTAAATTGATGCAATTCCACCTACTTCATGGTTGTACGAGATCTTAAGGGAGGTTATAGCTGATTTCGAGATAAAAGACATAGACAGATCGTAAAAAGTTACTATTCATAAACGTGAATCCATAAATGAAATCATTTGAGTGTTTATTACTGTTCACAAGAATACTACTGGGAAGGTTTAAGATGGTTTCAGAATTTTTTTATATGCCGTTATGCAAAATACAGGGGATATCTGTATTGCTTATTGAAAATAATAACCACGATCAATACTTTTGAACTACTACTAAGTGCTGACAACTCATGGATAGCTTCCAACCTATGAGTATTTATTTATTTAAACACATAAACATGGGTAAAAGGAGGCACTAAATACATATGCGCCACATAAATTATTGGATTTGTGTGAGGGCTGGAATACTGGCCGGGTGCCCAAACCGAAGCAGGTGGTTATCTTAAGGGGCCACACCCTGAGCCTTCGACCTAAAGGTTTGATCCACAAGGCAGTGGAGCAACGTCAGAAGGTGCAGTCCCATGGTAGCCTATGAGTTTCTTCAATCTAATTAAAAATTATAGTTATCTGTTCAGATGCAGTGAACTTATTCAACTTGAAGCAAGGTCCCATTCAGCATGACTTTAGTCCCTATACTGACTGGTTTCCTTTCTAAGTGAAGACTTTTAGAGGGTCAGACAATTGTAAGAAGAGTTGAAAACTACTTTATGGTCAATGTTTTTTTATAACTACTGATTCTTTTGTTTTCAGCTAGTGGTACTCTTTAACAGCTGAATAGTATAGCACTGTTATGGTTTTAAGAATAAAACTGATGTAATGGTCAACCGATTTGTTTCAATATAGTCTGTTTAGTGAGTGAAAGTAACTGTAAAACAACGGAGAAGATATGATCACGAACAGTCTAATACTAATGTTCATAACAATGCAATTCCAATGCTTTAGTTTCAAATAATGCATGTTGCACATTAATTTCATATGTATTTACCTGAGTAATAACACTATACTAACTAACAGATAGGTTTGAGGGACAAGAATAACAACAACGGTAACCAGAAAAACATAGTTACATAACTACGAACAATAACATTACCGAACTCTGAAATAAGAGGAAACTACGAAGAAATTAGTAATCCTTTAAGTTGTATGATAACAACTTAATGATAAATTTACAGTTTGTCTTTTTAAGACACATTTTGAAAAATTCTTCTTACTGTTATGTGAAAGAAAAGATTTGAAATAAATTCTGTGAAAAAAAGGTATTATCACTTTCAGTCACTGAATGCTTCATTTGGTATTCGACAAATATTAGCTTATTTCATTCTTTTTCGATACGTCAATAGATGAATCATTTAAAGTGACCTTTTCATTTAAACAGAAACGTTGTACCATTTATACAAATATGTGCCGATAAAAGTGAAATGAATGGGTTTTTTAGCTAAAAGTTGTTATTTGTTAGTAGATTTTTTTATAAACGAAGGGTTAATGAAAGATTTTAATTGAATTAAATATTCTCATTCAGACATTGAAAATATCAAAATGATACAATCATTGAGTCTTTCCGAAAAAAAAACTATCTTTCAACGTTGAAATTACAAAATATTGTACGGTTGGTGACCGACATTATCATCTGACTTTTACTTGAAATTTCTTTAATTTTACTATGATTTTCATTGTAGAGCGACCTCATCTACAGAACCGTTAAAAACCAGTTTGCTTTGAACAACCGTTTATTTGAAGTAATCCAGGGACTAATTTAGGGATTAATAAATATGACTGCTGTGTAAATTAACCTGAAATACTGGGTATCAACTCTACTAATCGAACGAATGGAACCAAAACCTAACTGTGGTGGCGTTGAAATAAGGAAACAAAGGAATCGATTACCCATGTCTATCTAGGCACACTATTATAGCATTGACTACAATCTACTTGTACCTAAATTCTACAATGAAATGGGTCTTCGAATTACAAAAAGAATATTCACGTCTCACGACAAGCCTACCAGTCAATAGACTGGTGTTCAATGCCTCATGCTTCCCAATACTTAGCACTGTTAATTATACATTGTGGTTTGTGACGACATAACGTAAAATAAAATAGTTATTTCCTAGACAATTGTCCGAATATCAGAGAAACGTAGTTAATTTTTAAGAAATGAGATTAACATTAATGTCAGAGTAGAATGCTTGTTAAAATTCGAATTTTGATAATACCGGAATGGATATCAACTTTTCAAATTACTTATCAGTAGTAAATCTGATTATTATAAAATGTTTACTTAGAAAATAGTTTACAACACAAATTAGCTGCAAATAAATAACCATTGAAAAACAGAGAGCACTAGATATAATTTCTGTCCTGGTATGAAGCTTCTCAGTAATATGAATCCATGACCATGAAACTTCATAGTGAGTATGCGATTCGGAACTACCGAGTTAATGTCCTATGGTTCACATCAACTTGTCTATTTGCCAAGTTGAGAACATCAGTCACATGCATTAGATAAACCAGTCTCATATTTGATATGATTGAACTCCATCAGTCTCACCTCGAACCGAACAATCTCCGAAAACATTCCAAGGTTAATTTTTACAGATTTGCAAGTTAATTATCTGGGTGCATGAATAGCAAAATGTTTCGGAACATGAATTTCGAGCATCGTATTTTAATATAGTACAATACACCAGATGTATAGATCCACTTTATTTGCACAAAAGACAATGCACACAACAACCAATTAGTATATCTACTTCAGACTTGTAGTAGATCATTTCCAATTCTAATCGTTTGGATTCAGTGAGTTGCGATATTTCGTATCGCTGAGGCAAAGTTATATCATTCGACTGATGTCAATTATGAAGCTCAGGTAGGACAGTTTTAGTCACTTCCTCCCACATTCACAGCCACATTTGGCCAAAATTGTGTACATATGTTATTCTCTATATTATGGTACGTTGTGTTCTGTTTGATTGGTATATAAACCGAGTATGTTTGAAATACATAATTCATATTCCAGAGACTGAGATCGGTGTTCTGGACTCACTTGACTGGGCTAGGCTGAAAGCAGGACCAATCAGAATTCTAGGCTACTTGCACGTGTTTTAGGCGTCCTTGGTCCGATCGATAATTCACTGCTTCTGATTGGCGGTGTTATTACGTTATCCATTAACAGGGCACTCAGGCCATAAGTTATAACATTTCCACAACCACAATTATTAAGAACCCATGGAATAAGTTCACCACTATATTTATAGTTCGCAGTATGAAACAATATGTGAAAATGTGATGGGCTGGACGAACTCAAACAAATCATGTGCTTGTGCGCATATAACAGAAGAAAAAAAGGGGAGAATGGGCAGCCTTGTCCGACTCCAATCCTTACACGGAATGCATCTGTGACCTGACCACAATGCACCACTTTGCAGTGTTGTCCCTCTCCAGTTGTTCTCCATGATAGTGTCTTCTTCTTTCAGTAGATTTTGTAAGACTTACCTTACTCGCCTCCTCATTGTATCATTCAGTTCTCATATATATTTCCTTTCCTACCAGCTTGTTACGATGCTAGATCTTCAATGCATTTCTCCTTGTCATCACTAATGCTCCACTCCACTTACTTGTTTACTTCTGTGTATTCAGCTTGTGCCTTGACTTTCTCTGTTCTCGTTCGATTGTTGTTAATTGCTCCCTCCTTCAGATTCGTTTCTTGAATCTTTATCACGCTTCCCATAGAGATTCATTCTTGACATCCAGCACCTACTCACACGTTGAAGTCAGTGCTTCTTTCATCTCTCTCCAGTTGTTCTCCATGGCAGTTTCTTCTTCTTTCAGTAGATCTTGTAAGGCTTGCAACCTATTGTTGAGAGCGATCTTCGATTCATCGAGTCTGTCAGTGTCTCGGAGGAAAGCTATATCAAATGTTCATAGTGATGTTTCTCCAGTTATGTAGTGTTGCTTCAGCTTCAGTTTCATCCTCGCCACAAACAGTTGGTGGTGAACTGAAGCTATGTCTGCTTCTCTCGTGGTTCTCACTTCTTCCATGAATCTTCTAACTTTTTTATTGATGCAAATATGATCGATCTGGTTCTGTGTAGTATGATCCGTTGAGACCTATGTAGTCCTGTGTATTTGTTGGGGATATAATGGCACTCATGATCACTTTGTGGAATTCACATAAATTTGCCGAACTCTCCTTCCTTTCTCCCAGTCAGTCCATGTCGTCCCATGAAATCTTCATACCCGTTGTTGTCTATTCCGATTTTGGCTTTTAGGTCTTACTTCAGAATCGTGAGACCATTCCTTGTGTACTTCTCTATGATTGACTGCATCTCTTGATAGAGCTGATCTTTAATATCTTCTTTGCTATCATTTGTGGGTGCAGAACATTGGGGCTGTTGACCCCATGCACAACCCTCCACCTTTGCCTGAGCTTGTGAACGGCAGTAGCCCTAGAAGAGCTACAGATGGAGTTATACTGTCTAAAGCCCAGACGATGAGTGAGAGAAGATATAATATTAAATATCTACATAATGTTCGTGCATAACCGCTCATATCATGAAATTAGGGCTCACTATTAATAGATGAATTCGGGAATTGCGACACTCCACGGATACAGAGGTCGATGGGAAAATATTATTTGAATCAGATGGAATAGCAAATAAACAAGATATATTGGATGAAATCAGACAGAATCCATAACTAGATAGATCTTGTCATTCGGTAATTTTGTCATTACATGCCAACTTTCATATTAAAATCCTTAGGGTCCAGTGGTCCTGAGTGCTGTTAGAGGTATGAGGGCGGTTATCACTTCCCGGTTGCCCACACCGTGGAAGGGTTGTTCTGGAGGTACCTGAAAAGGAAATTCGATTAGAGGTGGTCTTAGTGACCTGGGAGCGTGACCGCAGTGCCCAAGGGACAACTGCTTGAGGTCGGTCACACACGACCTTTTTATGGGTAATTTTTGTGTTAGCTCCGTACTTGTTGAGACCTTACCGCCTGACGGATTTCCGTGGGATAATGCTCTGTGTTCATTTTTAGGGTCGACCTTTTCTAACCCCACCCCTGCTTGTGGGAAGGCAGCATCGCTGTCATGCTGTTTGTCTGAAGAAAACACCTTACCGCTGTCACACCTCTGTACAGTCAGCAGTACGACGTCGGACCTTATGTTTGCTGCTTTTAGTCTTACCGCTCATCAACCGACCTGTCTGACATGGTAGGACCTTGAGGAACAGTTATTCCAGCCAGTATAGCGCGGTTGCTTCATCACGATAGACAAGTCCGACCACCACGACAAGGTAGCAACAACGGTTGGGGTAGGGCCCAGGTGGGATTAAACAATGCTAAAGGTCGATTAATCAACTAGCGATTGCTTTCCATCAAACAAGTGAATTGAACTGGCTGATACTGAATGTACCAATATAAAACTTTTGGTAAAATCCACCCAAGATGCATTTGTAACTGAAAGATGGTCGCAGATCCTCTGATGGTAATGTTATTGAATATTTCGTCTGATGATGTGAAATTGAGATTATTTATCCACGTCACCAGAATTGTGTTGTTTTGATTTAATTACGATTTACAATTCCTACTGTATCCAAAACTCAGTACACAAATAAAAAGACTGAAGGAAGGTATAGGTCCCAGACTCGAATAGTGAATACGAATTTCTTCGCTTATATTTCACCTAGCGTTTGGACTTGAGATAGCATGTGATTAAAGGCCCGTGATATGTCTGGATCCTTCCAGTTAGCGTTTTGAGACTCAGAGAAGATAACTTAGATATTGACCAAAAATGTAAAATACCGGAAAGTTTTTGCTGAGAATAATAAAACCCATTGAAAAATGCAAATCATGTTCATAAAATATATCAGTCTGGTTAAAATGAATTACGGATAAGTGAAAGTATTTCCAAAAGAAAACTAATCTGTTCAAACAGAATTCACTAGTCGATTTCCAAGTATAATACGTAGGAATTATTTATATGCCTTGAACAGCCAAACGGTAGCTATGTCCGAAAAATATATAACGTGAAAGCAGCCACGAATATGTCAAAAAATATGAGAGCAAGTATCGGCGATTCATTTGTAACGCGTTTTCTAAAACAGCGTCGTGATAAAACAAAAGCTTATTTATGAAAGGTTAAATAACGACCCAAGAAAGGGAATAAGATCAAGGTACATTTTAGCTTCATAAGAAATATACAAGTATTTTACTGATAATTTAATTAAGTAAATAGTTAGCATCAAAAGATGAGTTTTATTTGATAAACTTCACTTTTGATTCTGATAAAGGTTCCTCTTTTTTTCATAAACACAGGGCAGTAGGTGAAGCTAATCAAATGAGGAATAATCTATTACAGGTGGTAAACATCGTACATCGTTAGACACAGTGGTTTTAATGGTTATATGTTCGTCACAATACCCCGAGGTGATGACTACGATCATTGAAGAATTAATGGGAGTGCACTTTTGAGGTTTTTAATGCCACCTAATGAAGGCTGCAAACTAAAAATAGTAGTTACTGGGAAAAAATTCACCTGATACAATTAATTTATTTAAATCCGCCAGTGGATACATCAAAAAGCAGTTCTAAGAAGATGAACACAATAAGAAACTACGTGACGTATGTAGAAAGCAGGAATACAGAAAAAAACAGTAACATGTAGACGTATGTATATAAATCTTATTGAAAAACACGATTGATACTTCGTGATATTCAAAGAATCGAGTGTCTGCAGTGGAAATAGAATTTCAGAAAACTTTTGATTAATCTGTGTTCAGGATCATTTTAAATCGTCAAATGAGAAACGGGAGGTGTGGAAAGAAACACAATGAAAAACGACTAGGATGTTAACAAATTTCAATATTAAATTTTCTTTACAATACATTTCGAATGTACATGAAAAACAGTATAAAAAAATGCAAAGGTGTTCACCAACATCCTCAAAATTCATCAGTGAAACGATTAAGTGTATTGGCTTTAAATTTATCATCCACTGCATAAATATCCATTACTCGAAGTTGGATTTGTTCAACTATTTCACGGGACAAACTATCTGAAATAGCCTTTGAAAAACAAGAAATAGTTTTAAAATTATTGACCAATAATCTATAACGAATAGATAAATTTATCTATTAACAAAACATTTTGATGATCAAGTCTTTAGAATCAAACGAGTGCAGTCAGTCAGTCAGCAACAACGTAGAACTTCGTACGTACGTACATCAGTTCGAGTTGCCATACCACATTAGCACAGAGATGCAGTTGTCGACTCAAAACACGTAGTGGTAGAAATAGTGAGAGGATAAGCAGTATTCGGAAAGATTAGGGATTGAAGATATTATTCAAGGAGTATAATTCAATGAAATAAATTTGGAAAGAGAAAGAAGGGACATGAAGAATTCAGAAGATTAGAATTTGGAAGAACACAGAGTAAATGCACCTGCGCCATCGCAAACGATTTTGAGCCATGTCATTCAAGGTCTCTAACCATCGGTTGAACAGTTGTCTGCTGTTATCTATTGCCACTTTCTTTTCTATCTCTCTTGCTTTCGCTACCCACCACTGTTCGCGATCATTGCGTAGCCTGCGCTTAAGTGGACTTCGCTTTTCGTCATGTTCAGAGCCAGATGGGATGGGTTTTTGAGTATCCATCAGTGCAAATGGACGGGAAAAGTAGGTATGGCTTTTATTCTTAATTCTCCTCAACCACCTAGTATAGTGTACTCAATAATGATTCACTTGCTTAGCAACCTCACTGGGATCCGGTCAACAGTATATGACCACATAAAAGTGACGAGACAACAAGAAATGACCATTCAGTGACAAACATGAGGGATATTTCGCTGTCTTTTTTTAAAAAAGAACAGTTTTAAGTGTATCACTTAATGGTCTAAATTGTTCGGTCAGAGAAATAAGTAGTCAGCAGATAGATTCAAATTCACAATAAAATTTCATTCAACGACTAAATTACGCAATAAAATGATTGGTCAGATCGTTTAGTAAACAATAACTGTTCAAGTCTATTAAAATACATGTTTAAAACTACTTCTACACCCTCATACAAAATAGTATTTGTGTATTCTGCATAGTAAAGGTGTATTATTAGTCAACGACCAGATTATTATTTAAATGACTTTGATTACACCATCTGATGTATACGATATGAATCACATGACTACCTCAAACAACCTAACATAAAATTATTACTTCTGAAAATTATGTCAGAATTTTGTTTCACCCTCAGCTAAGTCGCATAAGTCTGAGTTAGACACATACCGTAATCATACGACTCATCGGTATTGTGAATTTAGGTGCTAATTTGGAAATACACTGAAAAACATCATTAAAAGAAATGAAAATTGAAAGCTACCTGCCACCAGGCCATTTCAGAGTGCCGATTACCAGGTATTTCAACACCGGCAATCCGTAAAGCTAAATGCAATACGGCTGCAGCGATATGCTCTGGGGCGAAATCTAAACACATAGATGACTGATAAGAATCCGCCAGTATTGACCAAGCCAAGCCAGGAAGTCGTGCTAATGCAATTGCAGAAGCATTTACTGAATTTCCACCAGCGTTCAAATCGGACCCGCATGGCTGTGCTATACCTTTGCCAACCCAATGGAGTAATGAATGAAGATAATGAACTAGATATGGATGTGGTAGAGAGGGACGACGAACGTGATAAGCTAACAGTCGCATCAGAAATAATTCAGTTTGTACAAGACTTTCCCGTAAACGATCATAATCATCACCGACTTCCAAAGGACTACGACGGTTTTTGTGAAGTGTCCTGAAAAGAAAAATATTGGTGTGATAAGGCGTAAATGCTAAAAATCCATTGGACAATTAGGATTAGATGAGTTTAAAAGGATATTGGAACCCATGTGTAAAATGTGATTGATAGACGAACCCACCAATAATAAGGGAAACGCCCACCACCACATCAACTCCTTTTGACCTTGTACGACTGTATCACTTTATTAACCAATCACAGTTTAATGTTCATTGTAAAACAATTTTGGCTTGTTGACTCATTTTTCCTATTCTCTAGCTACTGTTCGGTATGTTATTTGTCTCTGTTTTTCTCTGTATTAATAGACTGTACTGTTTGTTTGTACGCTAACGATGTTAATTTATGTTTTAGAAACAGATAAAGTTTATATAGCCAAATAGCTTACTTGTTCTGACTTTGGCTAAACCAAGACTCTGTACTCGACAGTCTAGAGATTAGCTTAGAGTTGAATCTGTAGGAAATTCCTTCCTACAGCATGTGTCCCACTTACAAGCACTGAGTTTCTTCTGGCTCCTTACAAATCACTGAAGCCCGTCGATCTACTCCGTGAGTGAACGTGAGTTTGACCACAAACGACAACTGTTATATAATGAAATTGTTCGAAGCTTGCGTAATGGCCGAGAAGCCTGGTGGTCGAAGCGTTGGAAGCAGCAGGTGCATCCGGAAACTGCCGGAAGCTCTTCCAACTCATCTGAGCCACGGGCAGCAAGAACTCTGGTATGAGCGAAACAACCTGTGAATATGACGGGATGCGAATCACTAACATCAAAAGACGTCTTGAACGATGGGCAGTTTTTCGAGGAGCAGTTTAACTGGTCCCTTCCCTCCACAACCTGTGACGACTGATCCACCAAATGAGGCGGAAGTCTGCAAGGAACTCCAACTCTTGAAGCGCTACAAATCACTTGGCCCAGATGTCTTACCTCCGGCTCTTTTTAAAGATGGTGGTGACTTTCTGACCAAGGAACTGACGACGTTGTTTACAAAGGTGTGGGAACTACAGAAAGTAACAACGTCATGGAATGAGTCGATAGTTGTCCCTATCTTTAAAAAGGGTTCACGTCGTTCCTGTAACAACTATCGGGGGATAAGTCAACTTCCCATTGCGTCCAAGCTATTGGCTTCCGTCATACTTCGTAGGTTGTTCAAAATCCGAGAAAGATTGACTCACGAAGAGCAGTCTGGGTTTCGTTCTGGTCGAGGATGTATTGATCATATCTCCACCCTCCGCCAAATGTTAGAACACCGCCATACTTTTCAAAGGCCAACAATCGTAGTGTTTCTTGACATTAGGGCTGCCTTAGATTCGTTGGATAGGACTGTTCTCTGGGATTGTCTATTGAAGAAGGGTGTGCCTGAGAAGTTTATTAACATCCTAAAAGCCCTATATAAAAACACCTCAGGCAGAGTGAGGGCATACAATCAACTTTCTCCATTGTTCTATTCGAGCAGTGGGGTTAGACAGGGTTGCCCAATCTCACCATTCCTCTTCAACTTTGTCATCAACGACATTCTGGAAACAGCTCTGATGGATGTAAGTAATGGCGGTGTGGATCTGTTGCCTGGAGAAAGACTTCTCGACCTTGAGTATGCGGATGATATTGTCTTACTGCGCGATAATGCCCAAGGCATGCAATCCGCACTTAATCAGTTAGCAATCAGTGTCCGTAGGTATGGTATGTGCTCTGCACCTTCGAAGTGCAAAGTACTTCTACAAGACTGGCAGGATTCGAATCCTGTACTCACCCTGGATGGTTAGCAGATAGAAGTAGTCGAGAAGTTCGTGTATCTAGGTAGCGATATAAGTGCCGGTGGGGGTATGAGTAATGAGATCAATTCACGTATAGTGAAAGCCAGAGCGGCTTATGCCAATCTGGGCCATCTTCGCTGCTTTCGCGACGATAGTCTGGCTGTAAAACTTCGGATCTACAACGCGTCGATGAGAGCAGTTTTGCTCTATGCTTGTGAAACCTGGCCTCTCCGAGTTGAGGACGTTAGACGACTCTCTGTGTTCGATCATCGTTGTCTCCGAACGATTGCTAACATCCAATGGCAACACTATTTCGGTGATGCAGAGGTTCGGCATCGTGTGTTCGGGCTCGGTGACCATAATCCAATTGGTGTCACCATCTTGAAACATCGACTCCGGTGGCTTGGACATGTTCTCCGAATGTCGTCCTAGAGAATTCCACGTCGTGCATTATTTGGCGACAATGGGATTGGTTGGAAAGAGCGGAGGGGTGGTCAGTGTATGACATGGTGTCGTGGTATGAAAGAAATCTGCAAAGAGCTGGCTTCTGTTGGTCCTTCTCGACTCCCTGGCTGGGCTCCGAGAGATGGTGTAACACAGTGGCTAGAGACGTTATCAGACATGGCTCAGAATAGAAACCAGTCGCGATCCTGCTGTAACTTTATTTTACTTTCTTCATGAAAAAAGACGTAACTTCTTTAAGTGAAAGAATTCTCTGTGGCTTTACTTTTGCTAATTAAACTGTCTCTCCCATTATTATTATTTTACTAACATACACCAATTTTTGTTCATTGTTGTACTTCTTTTTTCTTATACACACCTTACAGTCTTTATTTCTTCACATTCTCATTATTATTGTGAGGCGCCTATATATTTGGTGCCCCTTTGTACCAAAATTTGTGCTTAAATAAATAAATAAATTAGATAACTTTATGAAGCAATTATACTCAAAATACCACTTGGAACTTCACGTTGCTCAATGACAACATACACGTGTTCCCAGAAAGCGCGTAGAAAAATTTTGACAGAAATATTTAAGTACAGTGAAGTTTATGGAAATCATAGAATTTTAAAAATCTAAATCATAAACTAATTTCAGTGAAACCACCATTGGAAACATGGAAGCACAGGATGGTCGTTTTCTTCAAGCTTTAAAATGCGACTCTTGAAGTCCAAGTGAGAAGCGTAACAGGTGGAGTTTAATCATGTTTGACGTGAAACAGTTATCCATCACAGGTAATAGATAATAGCCGAGTAACATCGTGAATTGGATGAAGTTGATTACCAAAACCGTTGGATGCCAGCTCAGTGATCTACAGATTAAATGTTTATGTGCAAAACCGACTGTAATGTGTTAAATTGCTGAATGCAGGATCACGGATGCACACTGTTGAGGAGTCCCGTACTCGGACAGTGATCCACTGCTCTCAGGTTTCTAATGGTGGTCCAACTAATATCAGTTTGTGATTTAAACTATGAAGATATATTTTAGATTAAAATGTTACACCTGTACCTGTAATAAGAAACAATCACATCACGCAGCCGTTGGTGTTCTTCTTGTACTTTACCGCCAAGGCTGATAGATGCCATAGCAATCGTCTGGATAATGTAAAACAAGGAAAATAAAACATAAAAATATGAGGGGATATTCATATTGAAACGAAAAACATAATAAAGTTACTCGTTTAAAGCAAAACGTCTATCGACTGTTAACAAATTATTTGTCAAACTATTTCTAGACTAGACTAGGCTATATATATTGAACTGAACAAAACCCGATTACCGAATGTAGAAATATACGACAAGTCTGCTTTTGGTATAATTACTAAACAAACACCCATTAGTGAAAATGGACCAAACGTACGAGATAAGAGAAATTTATGCATGTACGTTGATACAAAATTGGAGAGTGCCATTATGGTTCTTTGGTTCAATAAAACAGTGAAACAAAGTTACACTTATTTCTATAGCAGCTACTAGTTACACGAAAATGTGTTTACTAGCAAATATAAAATTCAATTAAAAAGAAAATGGAAACATCTCACAACCTTATAATCAATTGATTTGTTTTTTATAAATATTTAGAATATCCTACCAAAAATTTTGAAACACTCAGAATTGCGGATTTCTGTATACTCTATGATAATTATGTAACTATGAACAATTACAGGACAATGATATAGCATGTATATGTTATATTTTGTCGATCAAATTAACCGTGCATTGATAAGAATGTCAAATTCACTCGTTTCATTTTATTGAGTACTGTTTCAAACGACAAATGCATTCGGTATTGAATGTATGGTTATTTAAAGAGCAGACTAATTTCATCATTTTTAGGGTCAATAATTTGTTTTTAAATCATCAGACAAAACTGACAAGGGAGAACACAAACAACCAGGAGTTAGTTTTTTATAATTAGATAAAAAGACACCTGTTTCACGCCATTTTTAGAAAAAGAATAATAAGAAAAGTGAGTAGGAAAAAGAATGAATATATCAGAAAAGTAAGTCATAGAAGTTAGTAATTTTAAAATCATTACAAAGAAATTAGTTAGTGGACAGTAAAAAGGAAAAATGAATTAGTTTAGTCATGTACTAAATAATTGGTTTGGTAAAATATGATAGTTTTAATGACATATTTTCAAAGAGTAAAATAAGGACCTTACATGTGCATCGATATCTCCCAAGCTATGTTTAAAAGATTGGTCGATTGAGTCGAAACCAGAAACTGAATCAGATCCATTGACAGTTGCTGACCCAGAAGTAGTGAGTGTTGCAACTGGTTGTTCATCACCAGTAGTGAGAACACGTAGAGCTCGGTGTAATATTGTGCAAGCTGTGGCGATGGCGTAATCACTCATTGCTAAACGCCGACCAGCCTCCCGAACAGTTAAAATCAAAGAAAACAAAGCGGCATCTGAAAGAGGAGGTCTAGGTGGTAGACCAGCAAGCTGACTGTTTGGATTACGAATAGCTGAAATGGATGCTGGAGCCTCACGACTAGACATGTTTGAAATATCCTAAAACTGAAGAAATTATATCTATTAAAATATTAATTATTAAACCACTTTGTCATACTGTTAGCAAAAAGACAAACATATCAAATATAAATGTGAATTACGTAGGACACGTTATCTACTTCCACAGCAATATGTTTAGTTGCATGGAAATATTGAAGTTAATGTAAAAAGCGACCAACCTAAAACAGCAGTTAAGATTATTTATATCTCTCTTCGCATTGAATACACACCTATATCAGACTTGTAAACTGCATATGAAAACATAAACGGTGCACAAATCATACAGTTAAAATAGAGTAACTTTTAGCATATATTACTACCAATATAAATTCTTCATGTTCTTCATTAACGGCACAAAGATATATTAAACTCACAATCGTAACTCATCATAAAACCAAACAAACTATCAGTCCTGATTAGAAAACACAAATAGACACCAACTAGCATACAAAAAAACAAAAGCCAAAATGGATTTTGTAATTTATATTATTTAAAATTAAAAATAGTAAAACAGATATTTTCATAAAAAAGAAAGTAGTTATGAGATAGTTTTTCACAGTATCAACAACCTTAAGTAATCTAAGAGGAAACTCAAAAACTAGATTGAACGAAAATAGAAATAAATAACAAAATGCGCAGATAATATTGCTATCCTAGAAATGTGAGAATTTACAAATAAAAATCCTTGACACCATTGACAATATACCTATGTCTGGGATCAAAACAATACACACAAATATGAATAATTCACAGCGACTCGACTACCGATGGTATACATGATACCAGGAGATAATTATACCGCATTAGGACGAAAAACAAGCCTAATAGCAGTAAATTGAACAAACTTATTAGTCACCTAGTTTAACCAGGATCATTTGAAAAATGAATTGCTGATTTCACTTGTAGACTAGATTATTAGTTTTTGTCTAGGATAATATTAAGCACACAAAGTAATATGTAAATGTCAATAACACTTCATAATAACCAAGGTAATTTAAACAAAGTAAAATACAACAGAAAAAAATATAATAGAGAACATAATATAAGCAGATCAAGTTAAATGCTGATATATATATTCAAGATAAGAGCGCACATGGGTATAACAGAAGTGAAACAAGTAATCTAGTAAACAAAGTAACAACATTGAACAAATAAAAAATATAAAATGTTTTTTTAAAAAAAACAGATCCTCATTTACAATTGCAAACATATTTTAACGGAGAAGCTACGAAGTTATTTTACGGCGCTTATATTTACGTACAATACGTAAATCATAGGGTGGGATATTCCATTTGATTCCCAGTAAAATAATTTCTACTGTTATTATTATGATTGTTAATAGACTGGAATGAAGGAAATTCAACAGATTGGTGTTTTGATAGTAAACGATACACAGCATGTCCACGATGATTTGAAAAATGATTTGACAAAAGTGGTTCCTCTTGATGATATGGATCCGTAAATATGCTGGTTCTATTACTAATACTGTTGCATAGATGTTGACTGGTATGTTTTAAAAATGAATTATTATAGTTAGTGTGATTACAAAGAGAATTATTTCGACTAATAGTAGTAGTTTCATTAAACAAAAGTGAATCGTTATTACTTCGAGTAGGACGTCGACATTTCGGATCAGTTAATCGACGACGACCAGAAAATAAGTTACCTAATATTCGCCTAGGAGATGTATGTTGTTCGATGGTTGACACTTTGTTGGAATTATCTCGCCCTTCTAGCATATAATATAAAGTTGCATGACGTGAACCTATTGAATTCGATTGCCAAGAAGGTGACAATTCATTCTTCAAATAATATTGCAGAAGAGCATACACGAATTCCAAATCCCACTAAATATTTCATACATAAAAAATAAAGTATATTATTAACATAAAAGCTATTTGATTGGTATCTCTGGAGACAGAAATATAACTAAATCTATCCTTGTAAACCTATAAACAAAAAAAATTGTATATAACCTAGTCAAATACACCCGCTCGTCTTTAAATAACATCCGGAAACCACTTGGCATTCTTTAATTTGTCACGTTAAAATATAACTTTTCATTAACATCTCGATATTTTGTATTCTGTCCTACTTTTAAAAACATGGAAACATATTTGAGAACAATAGTTAGTAGTCTGGATAGAATTTTCTATCATCAATAAATCGTATACATAATATTCGATTACAAATGACCTGGTGAATAACGAAAATAGCAGCAACTTGTCGGTTTATTGTTCAGTAATCTCAGAAATTACATGCATTTCGCTTATATTGTCAAGCTGTATAAACATTTGGATGGATAACTCACTTCCACGTTCTAATTAACTTTTAGGAAATGCTTTGATATAAACAAACCACTAGGAATAATATAATATTTATCTTCATTTAAGGCGTACTACAATATAATAAATTAACTGTAAGCGACAAGTAGCAAGTTAACAATTAAACAGTGAAAAGCAAACGTTGAGGAATAATAATAATAAATACTTACATAACCCCTAAACAAATGAGGTCGTTGTAGGCACAACATTTTGAAAACGAAGTATACATCGAGTATAAGATCACTTAAAAATTGGCTAATTAAAATACGAATTGCACAAAATATGCCAACACGATAACCTCCAGTGCTGAAACAATAAAGTTGAACATTTGCAGTATTGAACAGATAATGAGAATAAAAAAATTAACTACATAATAGCCATAAATATATAACCTTTTTGGCATTATATGCATACAAAAGAATATTAAGACTTGTCCTGCTTCTTTGTTTTGTAATCTTTTTTGACTAACTGGAAATATCCAGAAAACAATGTAATTATATAAGAGCATCATACCAGGTGGATAAACTTGAAACAGTCAAATTAATTAAATACTTTTTTTATATATTTTACTATGTAGTACATACATTGACATTAGTAAATCAGCAGATATACATACTTGAATACCAATTACATTCAGACTGCAAAACAAACTAAAATAAATTTCCATGTTAACTGGTCTTGTATGAAGGGGGATTTTGAATTAAGATCTGCATAATACTTCTAACGTCCAGAGCAACAATTTTTATAGGTACATGGAACGTCCGAACAATGTGGGAGATCGGGAAGACCAGTCAAATAGCAACGGGAATGGGGAAATACAACTTGGCAGTACAGCGAATCAGCAAAACCCATTGGACCCAAGCTGGACAGCAAAGGCTAGATACGGAAGAGATGCTGCTATACTCCGGTCATGAAGACGAAAATGCTCCACACACTCAGGGAGTCGCTCTAATGCTGTCCAAAGTAGCACGAAATGCACTTGTAGGATGGGAATCTCACGGATCCAGAATCATCAAAGCATCATTCAAAACAAAGAAGGAGGGGATCACAATAAATATTATCCAATGTTATGCACCCACCAATGATAGCAACGACGACATTAAAGATCAATTCTATGAAAGGCTGCAGTCAATCATAGAGAAATGCCCAAGAAAGAACCTCACCATTCTGGTGGGAGATCTAAACGCCAAAGTCGGAATAGACAACACCGGATATGAAGATATCATGGGACGACATGGATTGACTGGGAGAGAGAAACGAAAATGGGGAAAGATTTGCAAATCCGTGTGCATTCAACAAATTGGTCATAGGGGGCACAATATTTCCACACAAGCGTATACACAAGGCTACATGGATCTCACCGGACCACACTACAGAGAACCAGATAGATCATATCTCCATCAATAAAAAATTCCGAAGGACAATGGAAGATGTGAGATTCAGGAGGGGAGCTGATATAGATTCAGATCACCACCTTGTTGTGGCCAATTTAAAACTGAAGCTAAAAAGGAACTGGACAACTGAACAAACAGCATTACAAAGGTTCAATACAGCCTTCCTTCGAGATGCTGACAAACTCAATGAATTCAAGATGGATCTCAACAACAGGTTCCAAACCTTACAGGATCTACTGAAAGAAGAAGAAACTACTATGGAGGACAACTGGAAAGGTATCAAAGAAACATTAACTTCAACGTGTCAAGAGGTTCTAGGCCTCAAGAAGTATCATCATAAGGAATGGATCTCTATAGAAACACTGGACAGGATCAAAGCAAGGAAGACAGCAATTAACAACAGCCGAACACGAGTAGAGAAAGTCCAAGCACAAGCTGAATACATAGGGCGGCCTGCTTGAGCATCTGGGCTACCTGTTCCTGCCATCTAAATATTTCAACAAGCTTTCTACTTTTGTTCGTTTTAATATATCATTATGTTTATTAATCGCATAAACAAGTCTGCTGTGTTTCTGAAAAGTGTACAACCTTTCGTTGTCAAAGTTACAAAAAACTCAATAAGAGACAATGTAGTTGCTGGCAATATACAACGAAAAGAATGCACATTATTCAGATGTTCATTTACTGAACTACTAACACCTAACTGGAGATCACTCAATACTTATCGCCAGGACCGACCAAGAAGAAAGAAACGGAAACTTGTTGAAATACTTTGTGCTGAGAATTCTATATTGTACCAAAAATATAATATTGAATAAAGCTGATAATAATAATAATAATAATAATAATAATAATAATAATAATAATAATAATAATAATAATAATAATAACAAGCAAGTGGAGAAGAGCATTAGAACCGACAAGAAGAAGTACGTGGAAGAACTAACAACGACGGTGGAAAAAGCTGTTAGAGAAGGAAATATGAAACAGCTTTACGATACAACGAAGAATCTAGCAGGGAAATATAGTAAACCAGACAGACCGGTAAAGGACAAAGAAGGTAGGCCAATCACTGAAATTCAACAACAGCGGAAAGAAGGACATCTCATCAAGATTTCAAAGAAAAGACATCTGAGCAAATGTGAAAACTACAGAGGCATTACACTATTGTCTGTACGAGGGAAAGTCTGTAACAGAGTGTTGCTGAACCGGATAAAAGACGCAGTAGACAGCCAACTTCGAGATCAACAAGCTGGATTCCGTAAGGATCGGTCGTGCACAGACCAAATGAAGACATTACGGATCATCGTCGAACAATCAGTTGAGTGGAACTTGTCACTATACATCAACTTCATTCATTATGAAAAGATATTTGACAGTGTAGATAGAAGAACGTTATGGAAACTTCTTCGACAGTACGGAGTTTCTGAGAAGATTGTCAACATTATCCGGAACTAATAAGACGGACTACAGTGCAAAGTAGTGCATGGAGGACAGCTGACAGACGCATTCCAAGTAGGGACCGGAGTCAAACAAGGCTGTCTACTCTCTCTTTCTCTCTTCCTCTTTTTCTGGTGGTCGAGTGGATTATGAAGACTTCGACATCTGAGGAAAAACATGGCATACAATGAACAGACCAGAACCAATTAAACCATTTAGACTTCGCAGATGACCTAGCCCTCCTATCGCATACACACAAGAACAAATTCAGATAAAGACAACTAGTGTAGCAGCAGTCTCTGCATCAGTAGGCCTCAACATACACAAGGGGAAAACCAAGGTCCTCAGATTCAAAACGGAGAACAGCAATCCAATCACTCTTGATGGTGAAACTCTGGAAGATGTAGAATCCTTCACATACATGGGAAGATTCATCGATGAACAAGGAGGTTCAGATGCAGATGTAAGGGCAAGAATTGGCAAAGCAAGGGTCGCATTCCTACAATTGAAGAACATATGAAACTCAAAACAACCGTCAACCAATATCAAAGTGAGAATCTTCAATACGACCATCAAGGCAGTTCTACTGTATGGAGCAGAAACTTGAAGAACTACAACAACCACCATCAAGAAGGTATAAGTATTTATAAATAGGTGTCTACGCAAGATACTCAGCATCCATTGGCCGAATACAATCAGCAACAGCCTTCTCTAGGAGAGAACAAACCGGCTTCCAGCTGAAGAAGAAATTAGGAAAAGACGATGGAAATAAATAGGAAATATATTACGCAAATCGTCAAACTGCATCACGAAGCAAGCCCTAACTTGGAATCACGCGTATATAGCCTCTGCCAGGAAAGTCTTACTCACTGCCTTCTTGTGGCGGGAGTGTTGTTTACGAAAATGAGAGGACGAAAAGCAAATGTCCGGCGCTTTAACCGGATCCCAAACGAATGGTGCACATGGGCTCCAGTATCCTGAGAGAACAAATGGCGTATGAACCAAGTGTTAGTCACCGGCTACCATGGGACTACATCTCCTTACGATGCTCCACTACCTTGTGGGTTAGACCTTTAGGCCAAAGGCTCGGGGTGTGGCCCCCTAAGAAAACCACCTACTTCGGTTTGGGCACCCACACAAGAACATGATCAACTATCTACTTATGAAAAATATTCGTCTCGCTCCAAATAACAATCAAGTGACTCGCATTATTATTATTATTATTTACTAAGTCATTATTAACCCTCTTTTATTACCACTCTGTTTATACTTTTTTTCGACTTCGACAGTAGCTCGTCTTTGGTGGAAATTCGGTTCTATCTAAACGTTCTCGAGTCACTGTCTGGTTGAAAATTGTATGTTACCACTGAATACGAGCACTGAAGCAGTGTTTTTGAAACCACGTGCACCATTCAAACTGGCTGCCTTCAACGTTCGCACACTTATGCAGGTTGGACAACAGATAGGGCTGGCTATGTCTTTAGAAAGTCTTAATATCGATGTTTGCTGTCTATCCGAGACCCGTATTCAAGTTCTACAAATTCGCTCTCCATCTGTCGCTTCGAAAAGCTTGTTTTACGTGCACTTATCCGGGGACCCTGTGGCATCTTCGTCTAGCCTTGCTGGCGTTGGTGTCGCACTGAGCGATAGAGCTGAGGCAGCACTAATCGATTGGATCCCCACTAACAGTCAGTTATGTGCTGTTAGATTAGAGAGTTCCATCAAAGTGAGAAGAAATCGGCATGAGAAACGATGTCCTTTCGTCATCTCCGCCTATGCCCCGACAGATTGCAGCCCGGATGCAATCAAGGATGAGTTTTACCACCAGTTATCAGTTCTTCTCCAGAAAGTGCGTTCGACAGATATTGTAGTACTAGCCGGAGACTTGAATGCTCAGGTCGGGCGTCTAGGCACAGAAGAGAGTCGTTTAGATGCCCAATGGGAACTTGTTGGTCGCAGGACAGATAACGGGGACTGTCTACTGCAACTGTGCACAGACCACAACCTGTTTCTGGTTAGCACGAACTTTCGGTACAGTCATCGCCGATGTGCCACCTGGCGTCCTCCTTCTGCATCTCAAGCCTGGACTCAGATTGGTCACATCGCGATCAGCTACCGCTGGCGTGATTGTGTACAAGACTGCCGCTCCTTTTGGAGTACCTATCTGGACTCTGATCATGCCTTGGTCTGCACCAATCTTACCGTACTTTTCAGTGGCCAACAAAGTGACCGCCACCAACGGATTTATGTCAGCAAGCTGGCTGCAACTTCTGCTGCTAGTAAGTATGGAAACGAGCTAGTTTCTAGGCTAGCTACCATACCACCGAAAAGTATAAGTAAGCATTGGTTGCAAATTCATGACGCCATCAAATCGGCGAGTAAAGCCGCTTGCGTCTTCGCGAAACGTCCCGCTTATAAGCACTGGGTTTCTTCAGGCTCCTTACAGCTCACTGAAGCCCTTCGGTCTACTCCGCGTGACTGTGCGTTTGACCACAAACGAAGGATGTTACGTAATGAAATCCGGAAAAGCTTGCGTAAGGACCAAGAAGCCTGGTGATCGGAGCGTGCTAATGAGCTGGAAGCAGCAGCTGCATCTGCTAACTACCGGAGGCTCTTCGAACTCATCCGAGACACTGGCAGCAAGAAGTTTGGTGTGAGTGAAACAGTCTGCGAGGATGACGGAACGCCAATCACTAATATCCATCGACGTCTTGGACGATGGGCAGAATTTTTCGAAGAGCAGTTCAACCGGCCTGCCGCTCCGGCAACATCGGTCGGACTGCCCTGCCCTCCGTGGCCGGTGACGACTGATCCACCAAATGAGGCGGAAGTCTGCAAGGAACTCCAACTCTTGATCGCTACAAATCACTTGGCCCAGATGTCTTACCTCCGGCTCTTTTTAAAGATGGTGGTGACTTTCTGACCAAGGAACTGACGACGTTGTTTACAAAGGTGTGGGAACTACAGAAAGTAACAACGTCATGGAATGAGTCGATAGTTGTCCCTATCTTTAAAAAGGGTTCACGTCGTTCCTGTAACAACTATCGGGGGATAAGTCAACTTCCCATTGCGTCCAAGCTATTGGCTTCCGTCATACTTCGTAGGTTGTTCAAAATCCGAGAAAGATTGACTCGCGAAGAGCAGCCTGGGTTTCGTTCTGGTCGAGGATGTATTGATCATATCTCCACCCTCCGCCAAATGTTAGAACACCGCCATACTTTTCAAAGGCCAACAATCGTAGTGTTTCTTGACATTAGGGCTGCCTTAGATTCGTTGGATAGGACTGTTCTCTGGGATTGTCTATTGAAGAAGGGTGTGCCTGAGAAGTTTATTAACATCCTAAAAGCCCTATATAAAAACACCTCAGGCAGAGTGAGGGCATACAACCACCTCTCTCCGTTGTTCCATTCGAGCAGTGGGGTTAGACAGGGTTGCCCAATCTCACCATTCCTCTTCAACTTTGTCATCAACGACATTCTGGAAACAGCTCTGATGGATGTAAGTAATGGCGGTGTGGATCTGTTGCCTGGAGAAAGACTTCTCGACCTTGAGTATGCGGATGATATTGTCTTACTGCGCGATAATGCCCAAGGCATGCAATCCGCACTTAATCAGTTAGCAATCAGTGTCCGTAGGTATGGTATGTGCTCTGCACCTTCGAAGTGCAAAGTACTTCTACAAGACTGGCAGGATTCGAATCCTGTACTCACCCTGGATGGTGAGCAGATAGAAGTAGTCGAGAAGTTCGTGTATCTAGGTAGCGACATAAGTGCCGGTGGATGTATGAGTAAAGAGATCAACTCACGTATAGTGAAAGCCAGAGCGGCTTATGCCAATCTGGGCCATCTTCGCTGCTTTCGCGACGATAGTCTGGCTGTAAAACTTCGGATCTACAACGCATCGGTGAGAGCAGTTTTGCTCTATGCTTGTGAAACCTGGCCTCTCCGAGTTGAGGACGTTAGACGACTCTCTGTGTTCGATCATCGTTGTCTCCGAACGATTGCTAACATCCAATGGCAACACTATTTCGGTGATGCAGAGGTTCGGCATCGTGTGTTCGGGCTCGGTGACCATAATCCAATTGGTGTCACCATCTTGAAACATCGACTCCGGTGGCTTGGACATGTTCTCCGAATGTCGTCCTAGAGAATTCCACGTCGTGCATTATTTGGCGACAATGGGATTGGTTGGAAAGAGCGGAGGGGTGGTCAGTGTATGACATGGTGTCGTGGTATGAAAGAAATCTGCAAAGAGCTGGCTTCTGTTGGTCCTTCTCGACTCCCTGGCTGGGCTCCGAGAGATGGTGTAACACAGTGGCTAGAGACGTTATCAGACATGGCTCAGAATAGAAACCAGTCGCGATCCTGCTGTAACTTTATTTTACTTTCTTCATGAAAAAAGACGTAACTTCTTTAAGTGAAAGAATTCTCTGTGGCTTTACTTTTGCTAATTAAACTGTCTCTCCCATTATTATTATTTTACTAACATACACCAATTTTTGTTCATTGTTGTACTTCTTTTTTCTTATACACACCTTACAGTCTTTATTTCTTCATATTCTCATTATTATTGTGTGGCGCATATGTATCTGGTGCATTCTTGTACCAATATTTACGTTTTCAAATAAAATAAATATGAACCTGGAAACGTGGAACTTCAAATTCAGATGCAAAATCATATATACATAGAACACAAATATGTGTAAAAATTAATGGCAGATGTTAACAATCATTCTCAGAGTATTGCGTACTCCACTCGAATCCAACACATTAGATGACTATAAAAACTCTTCTCTATATTTCAGCAACGTATATTCATTTAATTTTATATTTATTTATTTAATTCAATAACCAGATGAAGAGAGACTAAGATGACCGAAATTCTACATACTTGCATATTGTAATTATCATAATCAATCATTCAGACTAACAATTAATGAGAATTTATTAAAAGGAAAACAACATCTTTGTAATAAAATTACTGGGGGGTTTTATCTCATCTAAATTTTGTGATTAAATGAAGTCACGTAAAACACATTGAAAAAGTTTCAGTGGGTTTTCTCAGTATAATAAACAACTTTACAGACTTTTTATACGTTCCAAACAATGAACAAGATTTGTAAAGGTGATGGATGAAATGAAGAAATGCACATATTCCACAATTAGAAATACTGATCTTAATTTCCGTAAATAGAGATAACTGTCTTTTACTATCAAACTGTTAATCAATTAACTAAATATATCTCAGAAGAGTTGACAGCTAGAAAGCACATGAATCCCAAGATAACTATGTAGTTAGAATAGTTGTCATTATCGTTGTTCTTGTTTTTAAATAGTTACAACAATAGATCACTAATACTTCTGTCTTTAGTTTAAAACAGATTGATTATTACATTGAATAATTCAGCGAATCCAAATAGTTTATGACCCTATTTGTTTACCATGAATACACCTTTTTAACTAGACGATTAGTAAAACTGCACCAAAGAAAACTTACTTATCTACTAAAACAATAGGAGCGGAAGAATTAGAGAATTCCGGATTATCATTTGCTAAGTGTGTAGCCAATTCAAGTAAATCTGATGCAATCCTTGATTCATGAGGATTTTCTAAATCAATAGAAGGCCATGCATTAAAATGCAAAAGGGTACATGCTAGTGCATAATCTTCTCGATCAGATGTTAGTAAGAATTGAAATCGTACTAACGAATCACCGCAATGATCCATTCGAGCAAAATTTATATGCAACCAACCGATTGTTCTTGTCTGTCATTTGAATAAAAAAAAGTATAATAAGTTAAACTTTACAATTAAAACGATTTGATTATTCAAATATAGACATTGAACGAAATAAAGAGTAATATATGATGATAAATGAGAATTTAAATATTAAGTGTTTATTCAAATAGCAATCAAATGATGAACACGAAAGTACATATATATGCATCCAATGTGTATGGTAGTTCATGAATGGAGTGCCAGAGAATATAACAAACATCCACTGTTATTTCTAGACTACTACTGACATATAGAAAATTAAGGTCACTTCAAATGAGGAATAATATTATTCCCAGGAGAATATCCATAATAAAACAAGTTTACTGAGAAAAAATTTCCACCAATCATTTTTTGTTTAATATGGTCGACAGCTGATTAGGCTCGCAAAATACGATACTCCAAATCCTCACAAGTTATGGAATATAATACACAAAGTCTGTGATTAATGAACCGGTGAACTTCTTAGAATGGGCTGAACCGATAGTGGTAGTAAAGAAGACTAATGGTAGAGTTCATCTATGTGCCGATTACTCAACCGGGCTAAATGAAGCCCTAGAAGCTCATCAGTATCCATTAACCCAACCTGAAGATCTTCTTGCTAAACTGAATGGAGGTAAGCTCTTTTTAAAGTTGGATTTAGCGGAAGCTTATTTGCAAATTCATGTTGCTAATGAGTGTAAAGACTTGCTCACCATAAACACAAACAAGGGCCTATTCCAGTATAATCGATTACCTTTTGGAGTCAAGGGGGCCTCATCCATATTTCAACAAGTAATGGATAACATGCTACAGGATGTTCCAGGTGCTGCAATTTATCTGGATGATATAAGAATTCTGAGAGTAGATAGAATAGACTTAGAAAAGAAGCTCAACCAGGTGCTGTCACGCATAGTCGAATATGGACTTCAGTTCCGTGCAAAGGAATGTAACTGTTGTATGCAAAAGGTACGCTACCTCGAGTTTATAATCGACAAAGATGGCGAAAGACCAGATCCAGAGAATACCGAGGCAATGAAAACTATGCCTAGACGGACGGATGTCCACACAATACTATCCATTTTGGGACTAGTTAGTCATTAAGGAGCTTTTATTCCTAACCTTCTGAAGAAGAATGTGAAATGGGATTGGTCTGCAACTTGCCAAGATGCTTTCGATGAAATCAAGATAATACTAGTCTCGGATCTGTTGCCCACCCATTACGATTCATCTTTACGCGTTGTAGCATCATCAGATGCTTCAAACTACGGCATTGGAGCAATGTTTTCTCACATCATGCCAGATGGATGAGAAAGCCATATCGTTAACTACAGCAGAACGCAACTACAGTCAGACCGAGAAGGAAGCATTGTCGATTATCTTCGCTGTAAAGAAGTTTCACAAAATGATATTCGGACGCCAGTCCACTCTATTAACTGACCATAAACTACAACTATTCATTTTTGGGTCGAAGAAAGGTGTCACGGTATACAGACTGCAACGGTGGGGAAGTACGCTCTTGGATTATGACTTCAAGATCAAGTACCAGCTCATTACAGATTTTGGACAAGCTGACGCTTTATCTAGACTGATTTGTTCATAAGTGAAACGGGAAGAAGATACGTTGGTGACAGCGATTGCGACGGAAACAGAAGTACACCGAGTATTGGAATATGCAGTCGATGGTTTACCAGTTACCTTTAAAGCTATCAAAGAAGCCACAGAAAATGGCAAGACATTAAGTAAAGTTAGTGGTTGTTTTCTCACTAAGTGGCCGAACCGTCGTTTTCAAGGAGAAATGGTACGATATTTTCGCCGACGGGATTCACTCACGATGGTTGATTCATGTATCATGTTTGGTGACAGAATTGTTGTTCAAAAAATATTGTTTGTATAAAGGCGTTGGACTTTCGTAACGTGGATTAGACACATCAATCAAATACACGGAAAATAAAGGACTCTAAAGATGGTAGATAGTCGAGTGAGTTTTCCGCTAGAGATAATTACAGATACTCTAACGGCAGGAACCCCAACAGACACTCATAGACGTTGGATACCCAGAAAATTCGAGCGTCGTAGAAAACCAGTTGTCAAGATGTAAGTAGACCCGAAGAAAAGGTCTTATTTTTTGAAAGGTGGAAGGTGTTGGGGAGATCCAGAAAACTCGTCGAAAAAGCCAAAACATTGAGAAGCATCATATCCAATCAGCATTCACTAGAAGTTTTGCCAGAAACAGTTAGGAAGAAAAGTCACAAGTCGAATTTCTGATTCTATGATTACCTATACTGCTACTATGCTTAGTAGCGTTCTAGAATTTTCCAGAAACCCAAAGCCATCTGAAATAATATAAATACCCCAGATTTTACGTACATAAACGAACATTTGAATTAAAGCGTTTCTTCCATATTTCGCGCCTTTCCTCGTGTTCAAGTTACTGTGTAGATTTAATATGGGGGTTACTAAAAGAGCTTTGGAACCGAATCCAGCGTTCATTTAGAAGACTTATCAGATAGAAGTTCTGAGTTTAAATTTACAAACCAGCTTATTCACATTTGTTCTAAGCACGAGCAATTATAAAAACGAATTGCGGAGAACTGGCATACACTCGGCATATTTTCCTATGATCAAGTAGATTTCTCTCTTAAAAGAAATTACCAACTTTTCACTTTGCTTCATACGTAAATAATACAGGACTGGATAAAAAACAAATCACCAAAATATCCTATTTCAGTTGCAAAAGTACGATTTTATACATTGATTTCTAACATTTACTATTGTTTAATTTGATTCACAATATTAAACAATATGCTCCTGGGGATGTAAACAATAATTAGCAAATACATACAAACAATACAGTTGACAATTATAAACCATGGGTGAATTTCTTAAAGGAAATCGAAAAATACAGAAAGATCTATAGTAAAGATATTTTTTATTTTATTTTAACACATAGATATTTGTACAAGGAGGCAAAAAATACATATGCGCCACACAAATCTCATTCGATACGTGTGAGAGCTGTGATACTACCCGGGTGCCCAAACCGAAGCAGGTGGTTTTCTTAGGAGGCCACAACCCGAGCCTTTGGCCTAAAGGTCTAACCCACAAGGTAGTGGAGCATCGTAAGGAGATGCAGTCCCGTGGTAGCCGGTGACCAACGATTGGTTCATACGCCATTTGTTCCTTCAGGATACTGGAGCCCATGTGCACCATTCGTTTGGGATCCGGTTAAAGCGCCGGACATTTGCTTTTCGTCCTCTCATTTTCGTAAACAACACCTCCGCCACAAGAAGGCAGTGAGTAAGACTTCCCTGGCAGAGGCTGTATACGCGTGGCCATGTGAGAGCATTTCGAGAGGGAGAGCGGACTCTCACCACTTTCGGCCGTGCCAGGGCATTTGGAGGCTATATTAGTTATTAAAAAGCATGAATGTTATTTATTAATGTTACAAAAAGGAAAACTAACTTGTTCAACTTCATCAGGCCAAAATGGTAACAAATTTTGATCAGACAAACATACAATTAAAGAAGAATTAGCGTCCCAAACTACTTTCCAAAATTCAGTTACACTGTTACCTAAAGGATGACGAGTAACTATATACTCACAAACATTCAGAAAACCATGAAGAACGGACGAATCAATGCCTGAACCATCAGTAATACCTAGAAGAAACATAATTATGGATACATACAATCAAAACATGGTAAAGAAAATTAGAATTTAAAATAATAAGTAATCTGATCAGTCGCTGATATGTCACAGCATGATTTGTTGCACAAACATTTATTTATTTATTTGAACACATAAATATTGGTACAAGGATGCACCGGATACATATGCGCCACACAATAACAGTGAGAATGAGAAGAGAAAAAGAACGTGAGACGCGTGTAAGGGAGAAAGGAAAAAAGAGAACAATAACGACCACAGATTAGTGTATGGTAATATAACAATAATAATAATAATAATAATAATAATAATAATAATAATAACAATTATTATTATTATTATTATTATTATTATTATTATTATTATTATTATTATAGTTGTAGTAGTAGTAGTAATAATAATAATAATAACAGTAGTAGTAGTAGTAGTGGTAGTGATAATAATAATAATAATAATAATAATAATAATAACATCAATAATAATAATAATAATAATAATAGGGAAACGGAAAGGTACAACCAGAAAGAATTTGAGTTAAGGAAGTTACGTCTTTTTTCATGAAGAAAGTAAAATAAAGTTACAGCAGGATCGCGACTGGTTTCTATTCTGAGCCATGTCTGATAACGTCTCTAGCCACTGTGTTACACCATCTCTCGGAGCCCAGCCAGGGAGTCGAGAAGGACCAACAGAAGCCAGCTCTTTGCAGATTTCTTTCATACCACGACACCATGTCATACACTGACCACCCCTCCGCTCTTTCCAACCAATCCCATTGTCGCCAAATAATGCACGACGTGGAATTCTCTAGGACGACATTCGGAGAACATGTCCAAGCCACCGGAGTCGATGTTTCAAGATGGTGACACCAATTGGATTATGGTCACCGAGCCCGAACACACGATGCCGAACCTCTGCATCACCGAAATAGTGTTGCCATTGGATGTTAGCAATCGTTCGGAGACAACGATGATCGAACACAGAGAGTCGTCTAACGTCCTCAACTCGGAGAGGCCAGGTTTCACAAGCATAGAGCAAAACTGCTCTCACCGATGCGTTGTAGATCCGAAGTTTTACAGCCAGACTATCGTCGCGAAAGCAGCGAAGATGGCCCAGATTGGCATAAGCCGCTCTGGCTTTCACTATACGTGAGTTGATCTCATTACTCATACCCCCACCGGCACTTATATCGCTACCTAGATACACGAACTTCTTGAATCTCGACAACACAAGTAAGTCAAGCTCCAAGTTGTTTTTGTTAATTTATAACACTAAAGCAGTTGATTGATTTGTGAATGCTCTCATATGTAATCAGATTTCATGAGAACGTGATTAACTTATAAATAAATCGAAAGAACAATATACCTACTTGTACACATGGGTAATTTCGTTTGATCAACACTCAGGGTTCCACTATGCAAAGAACCGGGAGAATCACATCTGAAATCCATACACATCTATGGAAAATAAAAAAGAATTTTCTTACAATGAATTAATCAAGTAGTAAACAGTATATTAACTTTGTAATACTAACGTGACTGAAATACTCATTTAAATAACTGATTCATGAATGAATATTACGCATTCTGAGAAATGAAATACAACCACCATTTGTCAGGTAAACACTTACTTCAAATTGTTTCATTAAATTGGATGTACCTGTTGAATCTAGTTCATATAAATGTCGCAAGTAATCACTGAAGTCCAGCGGACGAATTGAATGATACGGATAAAGAATATACTCACGTAATGCGTCATGAATAAAAGCATATTGTTGCTAGATAATCAATATAATAAGCAAAATAAAGAGAATAATGAGTGAATTACTAATTCATTGATAATAACCGTGTAGGATTTAATTTGTCCCACAGATATACTACTAAAACCGTAAACACGATACTAGCTCTTTTTCTAAGTTCCCACCTGGCCAACACAATACTTGATGGAACATGGCTTCGTCTGCCGTAAGACCTATTGGTCGTTGCCAAAATCTTGTGAAAACGTCTACTAAGTTATTGACTAAATCAGGCACAGAATAAAGATTCTTGTTTAAAGACGTCCCAGCATACTTAGCTGCACAATCGAACACTATTCTTAACTTGTTAGGCTTCTTGGGATGGAAGACAGGGTGATGAGGAAGATACCAGAATAGTCCATCACAGTTGTTATCGTTTACTTTTTCAGCATAATCTCGTTCTATATACCAAGTCATGGTGTTCACATAGTATTGGAGCAACATTATATCCCGAATAAGTCGACCTTTCAAACAGCTGAGTCTAGGTTCTGCTGATTTCTTATTATTAGGTAACTTGTGTTTGTGCCTCCAAGGCAGAGCTATTTGATAGTGCCCATTTAACTTTTGCGCTGAATGCTATACGATCTTCCACAGACATCGATGGATTACGACTAAATGGATCTTTGAATTCAGTTGAATACAATTGTTCAAACTAATCCTCTAATTCCTCCTTAGCCGAGAGGCAATTAAGTACGTGGTTGCTTCCACGGGGTTCTCTGTAAGGGCCGAACAGCAGACGGTTCACTCGTCTTTCCGGCTCTTATCTCTTTCATCTTGTGTACGCCCGATGCATTACACCCGATTAACAGTTTAACGTCTTCATCTTCTACTCTCGGAAAGCTTATGTCTTTTAAATAGAACCAGGATACCATTTGATGCGCCGATGGCACAGTCCTGTATACTGCCGGTTGTTTTCTGACTGTCAACACTTTATCTACTTTAACGGATGACGAAAAATCTATCGAGTACAACTCTACATCGACCTCTTTGGATACCAACGACGATTCATCACTAAGAGACTTTAAAGATACCATTTTCAGTTTTCCCTCGAGACCTAACTTATCAGCTAGATTATCAACTATGAGGGAGGTGTCTGATCCGCTATCTAGGAAGGCGTATGTCTGAATAATCTCACCACTTTTTATCCATACAGGCGCTACTGCAAGTGCTACTGGTCTCCATATACAATAAACGCCTTCCTCCGTACAAAGCTGAGTATTAATGTAGGCATCACTATTAGTATCACTTGGTTCTTCCCGCTTCTCGTGTAACAAACCGTGTTGTCGCCTAATCATAATGAGAGTAACTGACCGTTAGAGAAGCAATTACAATGTCAAAGATGTTAAACGCAGTATCATAGAAAAAATAAATAATAAAACTAGCTGAGTAAAAGCTATTTATGGAAATCAGGGTTCGTACGAAAAACAGGTACGGTAAAAAATAATAATAATTACTTCTGTTTGGACAAGTTTCATGCGTTGTTGACGAATGTGTTCCAGGAACCCCCGAACAGAAACAGCTTGTTCTACCTTTAGCTGCCGTATCAAACTTTCGATACAGATGTAAGTACCGGTTCGTCCGACGCCAGCGCTAACATTTAGAAAAATTGAGATTAAAGGAAAAAGATTTAATGTATACTTAGGTATTTGAAATGTCAGTTGATGAACATTTTATTATTAGAGCAAACCATATACTGAAAACGACTTCACTGCATCAACATGTATTAAACAGTATTTACCAAAGGCAGAAAAAGTACCTGCAGTGGACAACAATAGGACCTTTGTCAAATGTCCAATGCGTGACCGAGGCTTCTACGAACTTCAGAACCGGAAGAGGGGAAGGAGGTACATCAAAATCTCGCCAATCTGTGTATTGATAGTGATAAACTAAACGATCTTTAGAACCCTAGAAAAAAATATATAATACGTCTCATTACTTTAAGTGAATACCTAGATAAATTTGTAAAATGTAAGAAATCACTAGGTAGACGGAGTCTACTGGACACTTAACGTACGTTTGTGACAGAGATGTTGAGTGAAATGAACAAGCAATGGCAACAAATGTACGTGAAAACTCGTTCATAATAATTTAATCAATCAACAAATAGAATCTAACGACATGTACCACGATTATAAGTGGTTTAGTTTATTACGTACATTAAATTTTAGTACTGTAGTAGTAACCAACCAGTTACTTATTTCATACACAACATAGAATTTCAAACTAAAGATCAATCGAATCTACGAATCTACTTCTAAAAACGAATTCGCATATTTTCGTTTATTTTATCCAATTTTTTTAAAATCATAATGAAATGAAAAATCTCATTTCAAAAAACTTGAAACTATTAGCCGTATAAATAAAAATTGAAATTTACACGTTTAGTCTTGATATGTCGAACAGTAAACACTCGGATAGTGAAGAAAGCCCGTACAACTTCAGAAATCATACGAACTGAAACGTTCCCATACGTTTGGTGACCTGAACTGGGCCAATACTTGTCACATTTACGCTATATTTGAGAACGAAATAAAGGCAAAATGTGATCATAATTAGAGAAATTCACATAAATGATAAAAAAAAATCAAACTAAGTAATTCTAGTAAATACAATAAGCACAATGAAGGTTGTGAGGATCTCCAAAACAAAGAAAATTACCCTCGAAGAATAGATCAAAACAATAGAAAACGACTTTTACAAAAATCACTGAAGTAAGAACTAGTAAATTGTTGTCTGATAAACCTACACGACCACGTTCAACGAAGTTAGATATCATAACGATGACGTTGCTATTTTGCTCCCATACCATCAACCAGAAATCATCGAAAGTAGACGGGATAGGGCCTTGTGCAGCGATATATGCTGCTCGACGATGATAACCCTGCATAAAACAAAAAATATTATGTAAAGTATGAAGGATACAAATAACTTATTTCCAAAATGACAAAAATATAGCAATGAAGTCAAAATATACAATTTAACAGGTATAAAATAACAGGAGACTGTACAAGAAGTAGTTAACAAGATGTTCATTTGTTTTAGTTGTTATTAATACTCTAATTTGAGAATACGAATATCAAGCCCTCGCTAAACTTATATTTGTATTCCTCATCATGAATATATAATGAATTCTGTGAAGTTTACTATATTGTTTAGCGACTGGAATCAAAGGATGTGAGCTTCTAATTTACAAAGTACTGAGATTTTCCCGTGGTAGTGAGCAAAAGAAATTGCTACTTTTCTAAGATCCTTAGATCATGTACGCCATAGGACTTACAAGTAGGACCCTTTATTTTCGCTGATTTAGTTCAAGTATCAGATAACCTTTAGGACATTCTAACCCTTTGAGAAATGCTTACCTTTGTTATGTAAAGGCGGTAGTAGTACGAGCCCTAAAAAAATACACTAAAAAATGTTATGTGGGGGCTTCAGAGGAAAAGAGTGGATTCCACATGCACGAGTTTTAAAAAGTTATATACCGAACTAAATAGCTATGTTAGATATAGATTCAGATATATTAAAGAAAGTAATAGAAAGAGACAAAATACCAATCGAGGGCAATTTTAGGACGTATTATTTTCCATTTGATTTGAAAGAAAAGGATCTTACAAAGCGAATCAGCTTTCGTGTGTTCACAAAAAATAGCAAGTTCACAGTTTATTATCAGTTGAAATGAAACGAGAGATACATAAATGAACATTCAAAATTAATCTTGAATCTGTCTTTTTAGACATTGGTTTTTGTAGACCTTATGTTTTACAAGTATGTGAGTACCATTCTCTAATACGCGCACGCATCTGCTTGTCCCTCACTGGACGCAGGAAAGCCACATTAAGAAGACTCATTAGAATTGAATTGAGTGATGAGAAAAACGAAAGAAGATTCAAGGAATAACTGAGATCACACTTGGGTAGTTCTGAAAACGAGGCTGACCCAGATGTTGCTTGGAAAGATATACAATCAGCTGTGGAAACAGCAGTGACATCTATCAGTGATTTGAACTAAAAGGTCATGAAAAACCAGTGAATTTCTGCTACATCTTTTGCACTGATGGATTCTCGTAAACTCATCCCATAAGGCTGTGAACACGATGATGAGCTAAAGCAAACCAGATCTAGATTAAGTAAACGTTTAGGGAACGACCGTGAGTAATGGTGGGCATCGAAAACAAAAGAAATGGAAAAGGTGGCGGCTATAGGTAACACAAGACAGCTCTTCAGACTCGTAAAAGAAACTGGAACTAAAAAGTCAAGCGTGAGACTATCTCGGGAAAAGACGACACTTATTTGCTCACAGTTCAGACGTTTAGAAGGATGGGAGGAACACCTTACAGAACAGTTTAGCTGGCCTTCAGCTCCTCGACAACTACTCAAAACTCCCAGACAGCATGGATGGAACATTGAAGAAGTTCCCCGACCCTAGCTGAAGTTCAAAAGTCTATAGGTAACCTGAAACGAGGAAGAGCAACTGGTCAAAATGAATTGTTTTCAGATGTCTTTAATTATGGTGGTCCAATTTTAGCTATTAGGTTGACTAATATTTTAGCTAAAATCTGGTATCTGACTGGTCGCAATCACTTATTGTCCCGATATATAAGAAGGGGTTAAAATCATCCTGTGATAGCCATAGAGGGATTAGTTTGACTAGCACAGTATCTTAAATACTAGCCTCAATAATTATTGAGCGCCTAACTAAGACTCGTGAACTGCAAACACAAGAAAATCAGGCTTGCTTCAGACATGGTCGTGTCTGCATCGACCACATATTCATCATTTGTCAGGTTCTAGAACACAGGCATACTTATCAGCGCCCGACAATCATAGTTTCTCTTGGCTTAAAAGCAGCATCTGATTCTGTAGACCGAGAGGTTTTGTGATAGTGTCTGCCGTTGGAAGGTGTACCTCAGAAGTGCTTAAAACTTGTGAGGTCTATTTACTCGAACACTACTAATCGAGTGAGAGCTTATGGCGAACTGAAGTAATGTCCGTCAAGACTGTTCACTTCCTCTATTTTTGTTTAACTTCATCATAGACATACTGATGGAAATAACATTCTCGTCCACCGAATTCTCAGGCGTTGATCTCCTTACAGGAGGTCCACTTATCGACTAAGAATACGCAGATGACATAGTCCTATTTGGTGAAGACGCTGATAAAATGCAGTCTTCTGGTAGCACTAAGCAACAATGCCAGAATGTTTGGAATGCGCTTCTCTCCCTCTAAATGCAAGTTGTTGCTTCAGGACTGGTCTGCGTCAACACCTGAACTAAGAATAGAGAGTGAAGTAGTCGAACGCGTTGACAACTTCACTTATGTTGGGAGTCTGATCAGCCCTAATGGGTTGGTGTCTGACGAAATCTCTGCACGGATTGGAAAAGCTCGTCTAGCTTTTGTTAACTTACGTCACTTGTGGCGAAGGCGAGATATCAGTCTATCAATTAAGGGACGAGTATACTGCGCGGCAGTTCGTTCTGTTTTAATTTACGGTAGCGAAACATGGCCACTAAGAGTAGGAGATACTCGTAAGCTACTAGTATTTGACCACAGATGCCTTAGAAATATTGCTCGTATCTGCTGCGATCACCAAGTAAGTAATAGTGAGGTTAGACGTAGGGTATTAGGGAATGATGGTAAATCAGTTGATGAGGTTATGAATCTTCACCGGCTGAGATGGTTAGGCCACGTGTTATATATGCCTGAACACCGATCACCACGATGCGCAATGCTAATCGGTGTTGGAAATGGTTGGAAGAATGTTAGGGGCGGCCAAATCGAAAAGTGGCATCAGTGCCTGAAGTCACTAACTTCTAGTCTGAGCCATGTTGGTAGATGCAGACTACTTGGTTGGAGTCCGCGCAACTATCATAATCAATGGTTGGAGACTGTGGGTGACATGACTCAGAATCAATCACAATGGCGTCGGTGTATACACTCTGTCCTCCCTTAAACTAAGAGATTAAAATTGCTTCATATATTTCTTTCTACGAACTAATTATTTCTTCCTGTACTATATCCCTATTGCAATCTTTCTTTTATATATTACCACCACTGAATTAACTACTTTTATGAATCCGGTGTTCGTCTTGCTGTGCTAATGAGGTGTGGCAACTTGGACCGATGTATATATGTGCCTGATCCTACGTTGTAACTGACTGACTGACAAGAATACGAGAACAAGCGAATATACTTCATGCAGGTGAGTAATAAGTGATATATATTCCAAACAACAAAATCGAAATGACGACAGTATTATCAACAAGTTGTTAGAGGTTTAGTAATTTTTATTAAAAGCGAAGGTTATTAATATGTAGTTTACACTTACATCGACATAATTTGCATTGATATAATCACTTTTACTGCCTGTTTCCTTAAGTATAACTCTCGAATGATCATCTAAAATATCAAAACAACACAAATAAAACTTCCAAAAAAAGCGATGAAGTTCTTAAAACACGGTATAAAGAGTATCTTTGAAAAGTATTTAAATGAGTATTTTAAGAAACATACTACTTACATATTAACAGAAAGTAGCTTACGAACTTTTAAAAAGCCGCATCAAATTATCAGGATTATCCTTAATATAAAGAAGTCGGTAATTAGTCGACACAAATGTCCAGATGAATCTAGTCTCTGTCATGCTGTTTTATTCAACAGTGTTTCCTTAAAACCTTTCAGATGTTTTCATTGAACGTTGTTAATATATACAAACTGTTGTACATCAAACTATTAAGTAATGAAGTTATTTTATTCACCCGTTTCCAATGTACTATGATAAAATGTTGACTATCAACAATAAAACTATGATAGATCATTTTTCTTGCAATCAGAAAAGTCAACGCATTGATAGATTCGAAGTGAAACTCCATGAATATTTACTTACTCTATGGATCATTATAATGTTAAACTGAAAGGTACAAAACTGTCCATTTCAAATCATAAAGCGCTACTATTTACAAAAATGTATGTAATGGAAGGATGACAGAATTCTGGAATTTATTTTGTTAGCCAATAACAACCAGACTATTTCAATACAGAAAGACTAACTTCAAGTTGGTAACTATCAATTCCGACTCATTCCATGTACGATATAATATATAGTCAAAGAAACGCTTTTTTGGATTTGCAACATTACAACAAGAGCATACACTACAGGAATATAGAATGTTTAATCTTAATGAAGTACTGTACAGGACTACACTTCACTGGTGGATATCCTATGAACACTAACAGAGAAACTAATAATTTGACACTGAAATGTTTGCAGCGAACGATTTCCTATGACAAGACAACTGAAAACCCATGTAAATTTATAAACTCAGATAAACGATCTACTATATTCTCAAGTCTTTAGAGTTGAAAAGTGTTAATATTAGTATTAATATACAACGACTAACAAAATACATAGATAATTTAAACATTAAGGAAGACAATTAAAGACGTACAAGCCAAAATGTTGGAGTATCGATTTTTGGCTATGTTTTCTGAAGAACGAGCAACGGAAGTTGACCAGTTTGTTTGCACATTTTGTTCTAACGACTAATTCAAAAAAGAAATTTCGATACTTTGATAGTAAGAAGTATGATTAAAAATAAAGATACGAAATAAGCAAACGAATTAATCACATCTGGAAAAGCTAATAATTTATTGTCTAGGTTGAAGTTGGTTCAGTAGAATTAATTAATCATTCACCAAGCAGTTTTATACTCATTTTTGAGCATGTTAACTGACGCTAAATTGAAGAAGATAAAACGGGATTCGGACATACAGCACAACTGTAAGAAGTTAATTAGTTTAGCCACTAAGCCATCGCACCCTATAAATGTGACCGGTTTCCGGTAAGGCTTTGGTTTAGAGTAAAGCTTTGCCACTCCATCAAAATATGTTCAATTCTCATAAAAACAAACATAATGTATAATTTTTTCTGAAATTGAGAATGTATTTATGAATATGGAGATAGGACTTGGCTATACAAACACAAAACTTTAATAGGTTATGGGTTGGTTCAAAAACAAACACAAAAGCCTGGGATATGGTTACTTATTTGCATATGTTATTTAATTGCACTTATTAACAATGGAAAATTAAGCAATAAACGTGGTTAGATAAAAAGATTTCTTTCAATGTTAACAGTGACATCTATATGTATGTAACAAAATTGAAATAGATCTGAATTCAATTCTGAAAGATTGAAGATACATAATGTTAATGAAGGTCAAAATCCAACTGTGTATTTAATGAATCCCAGCTACCAAAGTGCTAACAGGTTTAGATCATCAAATAACTCACCTCGAACTCTGCTTGAAATCCAGCATCATCATCAGCATGGCAAGCATTAACATGGGCACGAAATTCTTTGCTTGAAATAGCTTTGTATGTGTTTTTACTTAGATGAAATGGTGTAATACGTTTGTATTTAGTTGATATATCAGTTTTGCGATAACAAGAACCCGTATCACGACACATGATAAGAAAACAATGAACTCGACTAAAAAAAAGTAAGAAATTATGGTGTTACAACTAGGAAAAATTAACTTCATGAAATTTTAAGTCATAATGGTTGTAGGAAAGAGAAAAAAGTTTACAGGGATGATACAAACTAGTAAAATTTTCATTAACTCAATCGGATTTTCTTAAATATCTGAAAAATTAATTGAATAAATTCAACAAAAACGCACTTGGCAAAACATGCACCAATTATCACGCAGAAGAAAACCAGAAGAGTAATAGAAACTATCCCAACAATTGCAATATTATCTAACTTGAGATGATATTTCGGAGTTGTATGAAAATATCTTCGTGTAGAAGAAGCTAAAACGAAAAAAGAGTGAATTAAATTTATATGGAATGTAAATAAATAAAACTATACGAATGAAATGACAGTGTTAAACATGGTCAACGTCAGCATTAAGTGAAGTGTTTCAAGGAAGCTTCAATATTTGGATGAAACGAATACTGATTTCAATGATGAATGTAAGAAATTTAAATGCTTTTGATAGACATTTCAACTTCGTTTAGCAAGTGTACTGAAAAAAAACAGTATAAATATAAAGTTTGAAAATACTTACACAGATTTAAACTTATTTCGTTTGAGTTCTCACTTTGTATCTCGCAGTTTACGTAATCAGTACAATTTGTTTGAGAGATACTGGATCGAATAGTAAAGATAATTCGACCAGATTTTGCTTCTTTAAACACGGACAATGGAATAACAGTCTGAAAATAGATACGGATGGTTCATTCACGTAAGAGTTAGGTTCCGAAAATACTTTAAGATAAGAAATAAGACTTGTCTGATTATCCTCGATTAAAACGTCAACAAAAACAATTATGATCAAACGACGCACAAAAAATTTTGAGAACACCGACCGAAGAATTGGAACAATATCTTGTCTACTAGGTATTATTGCCTGTTGACCCGTACATCTACGTAACATAATATCTAACTGTCTGTGCCACCCAAATCTGTTGGAAAATCGTTAATAATACTTTACTGATCCCCGAAATTTGTGAAAAAAAACTGCCCATCAAAAATGAATAGAGATGTGTACCTAGCGACGATATACGCGAAATTGGCGGACTACAACATCAACGTTTACTACAGTTGATATTATTTCACCAATTCCAAGCCATATAATCCCATATGATCAAAAGAGGAATGCGTTAATTTTCGTTCGTATATGATTAAAAGGTATAGAACTAACGCATTTTTGAGTATTTCCCTCTGTAACTAGGAAAGAAGATCAAATCCAATGACTAATTTCGTTGAAACTGTATTAAATAAGTCATAAAGTGGACAGGACCAAAACATGCGCGGCAGTGAAATAGATTTCTGTAAACAGCTCTTATCTTTCTACGTAAAGCAAGTTTGTAAAACAAGACTAACGTGGTTGCATTTACTAGTTTTTTATCTTGTTTATCTCCCCGCTTTCATCTTTATTTTATTTGTTCATAAATTCTATCTAGCCATTTCTATTACTGTCTTGGTACTCTGTAACTTTTTCATGAAAAGATTCGTTAGATAACAACCATTTAAAAAAACTGGGTTTCCGGTCGAAATTGTCGCATGGGTATTCAGAAATAAATATGGCGGTTTGATATGGAGTAAAGATGCTTCCCAAAGCTATGGAGTGATCGAAAGCATACTAAAATTACCCCACACAATCAAATACTTATAACTCCTACATTCAGTTAGTTAGACGCAACGTACAACCCGGCACGTACCTACATTGGTTCTTCCACAGACGTTATACATACCGCACTTTGATGACAAGGGTGTTTACAAAGAGGTATCGAAGCTGTTCAATGACATCTTAGCTGAATCGGTGAAAACAGAGGGTTCACCTAGCGAGTTAAGGAGTTTCAAATTTAATCAACGGCCAACTACAGAGTCTCGAAAGAATGATCGGAGTATGAACCTGCGCTTTCGTCAAGGGCTACCACGAGAAACCTACAGTGCCTCGTCAGTCAAGCACTGAAATGAACTTCCCTAAAAACAATCTCCCTCGGTTCAAGCGAGTAGGAAATATGACAGAATAAACATATAATATTTCGTAGAAGAATGAAGACTCCAGAGCATTCATGTTAGTCTACTAATGTTTGAAACTGACGAGCACCGAATAACTTATGTCTCAATTTTTTGTGGTATATACATAGCGTTATTGCTTTTTCGACTTTAATAACTTCCGATAAATTTACGCTGCACATTTCACCTCTCAATTCTATTCATTCCGTCCGAACTTTAATAATGATGTTTAGTTTTTACTACCATTGGCTTGAGAAGTTTCTTCTCGCTGTTCACATGTGACAAATTAGGTGAGAACAAAATTAAACCAGTCTGTACATCGTTCATGTCTAATTAGCCTTGTCGATTGTACAATGGTAAAGTGTGATGTTTTGCTTGATGTTTTACAGTAAATAGGAGCTATACGAATAAAAGTAGGACATGATAATCTGAATGGTAGACTTGATTTTGAGGAGAAAAATGTAAGACTTCCTTTACAGGTGGATAAAAAATTTTAAAAATTTATATTTACAAAAAAGGTTTTTTGATAAGACTATACATGTTTTAACTACTAATTCATATGTTCAGGTTTCTCTTCAATTAAATAAAAACGAAGAACCAGGTAATAATATCTATGCATCTAAAAGTTGTGGCCTACAGTCTACTACGAAACTGAAGCATGAGTAACTTAGTCAGTCAGCTACAACGTAGGACCGAGCACATATATGCATCGGTCCAAGTTGCCACACCTTATTAGCACAAGATGAACACCGAATTTATAGTAGTTACTTCAATGGTAGTAATATATAAAAGATTGCATATAAGGATATAATACAGGAAGAAAGAATTAGTTCGTAGAAAGAAAGGTATAAAGCAATTTTAATCTCAAGATCTAAGGGAAGACAAAGTGTATGCATCTACGCCACTGTAATCGATTCTGAGCCATGTCAACCAGAGTAACTTAGTAGGATCATAATTATGAAAATCATTCAAAATTGCTTACTTGCATACGCTGTTAATAAGTATAGAAAAACTAAAGTAAATATACACACAAAAAACTTCTATAGATTGAAAAGGGACAACAGATGCTTCACAAATACTAAATATTTACCCATTGAAATTGTTGTTGTTGGTCACAGTAACAGTATGCTAATTCTTTTTTGTTTGATGTCTGAGTGAGCAAACATTTTTGTTCAGAAATAAAGGAGTAAAAGTGCCAACAGACCAAATACTGTGGATTTTTTAATATTGATGAGGATTCATTTGAGCAAGTCCAGTTAATCAAAATATCATTGGTCTCCAAAAGAAAAGCGCCAACAGCAACAGGTGGTGATGGAGCTGAAATTTATTTAACAAAATTCTGAAACGAAGTAGTTATGATAACGTTTAATACAATTTATTTCATATCGATAAATATACTGAAGATATCTTGTGACTATAATCTTAAAATGGTCTTAAACCCCCCTTAGTTAATGGTAATGCATAGATTTTTACTCATTCATAGAAACTGGAATGAGTTATATAGATAACGTGGGAAGATGTTTTTGTTGGTATCGATCTATTAGGACTTCAAGGCATAATAAACAGATTTATAAAGGCTCTACAAAGCATTCAAACGTATACTGAATACGATACATAGGAGTATTTCAAGAAACTTTTCATCAAAAATATACAAAGAAAAGTGCTTATCGTCTAGCACAAAAACCATAGAAATGTACAATAATACTAGTTAACATTATACCAGAAATTGAAAGTTACTAAAAGCTTGTGGTTATCTGAATTTATAGTAAAATAGTAAAGTATTGTTATCAATCTGTTTCGTAATATGAACCAGACGCTTATTTAATATGGTCCTATTTGGAAAAGTTCGGATTATAGTTATTTTATAAGTTGGTTGCACGACATACAATATAATTTGAAAAGTGTGTCTCAGGATGATTTTTAATAAGGTTAATTTATACTACACTTATTGAGTTTCTTCACATAACAAAATGCAGGCAAAAACCAACCTTCAAATTTAGTGCGGACTTCGATTTCACTGAAATGTCCAAACCCAGCTTTTGTAGCAGATGCCACGCGAATAACGTAGCAGGTGTTGGGATCCAGATTCCCAAACACAAACTGTAACTCCTTTGAATCCACCTGAACAGTTTTTAACCTTTTAGAACTCTGGGTATCGTTTTTGGAACATGTGTGAAGCTAGTGAGATTAAAAACCGAAAACACATGTACGGTCGACAAAACCCAGATTCATCAAAAAACACTTAACAATACCGTGGTATCCATAGAATTATTTTCAATAACCGTGCAAACCAGAATAAATAACCTGAACCCTATCAGATTTTGAGATAAGCCTAAAGAACTTGTAATATGTTTAGTATCGCACAGTAGGATTATCTGATTTGTAAACAAAAGAATGAAACGTTCATTTACGGATAATAAGTTAGAACTATCATCATGCAATTCTCTTCGAAACAATTAAAGAGTGGTGGAGGAATTAAGGAAATAATGAAATTTCGAAGCTTTGCATGAACTCACTATTGTTTCGGAACAAACAAGACTGTAGTGAACAAACACTCAGGTGAAGAAGACAAACTTATTGTTTAATACATAATGACACATTGGTTTAGTAAAATGTGAAAATCCTACATCAAATACATCACTTGCACATCTTTGAATTATCTGTTACAAGCCTCATTGTTTCTTTATTCCTGTTGTTAGCCTGATCGCGTACAGTTTCCTTCCTTCTTCTCTTCATTTCAGTCTTCTAAACTTGCTCGCAGACATTTCACTTCCGACTGGTGCTACATACTATTTATATCCGCAAACATAAGTAGCATACACCACAGATACAATGGTAAACTTCCTAAACAAATATCCTCAATTTGTGGAACGAATGAGACTGCCATGCAACAGTTTAGACACCACCTGTATTTTCCACTTTACAGTCTGAGAACACGGGGGCAATTGACTTAATGAGCCCATCTGTGTGATACCGTAATGGAGAAACTAACAACTTTGTTTTCGTACCTATCACCGCCCGCATAAGTGACGGTTTAGCAACGTCTTTTCGTAGTCCTTTGGGAAGAGATACGGATAAACAAAATCACAAAAAAACAGTACTGTGGCCAAACAAGACCACTAAATTACATGATACAAAGTGAATTCTGTTAAAAAGAATGGGGTGGGAAAAAATTATAGATATAAAAGACAAGTTAGATATTATTTAACCACTCGTTAATTGCTTTTTATCTGGACTCAGATAGCCAATTATAAATGCCTAATTATTAAGTATGAAGAGTTAACTATTTATTTATTATTTATTCATTTGAACATAAATATTGGTATAAAGGGGCACCGAATACATATGCATCACACAAGTCACTTGGTTTGCGTGTGGGCTGTGATACTGCCTGGGTGCTCAGACCAAAGTAGGTGGTCCTCCCCAGAGACCACATCCGGAGCCGTCGACCTAAAGGTCCAATCCATAAGGTAGTGGAGCAACGTAAAGAAATGCAGTCCCATAGTAGCCAGTGACCAATAATTGGTTTATACGTCATTTGTACCTCCAGGATCCTGGATCCTACGTACACCAATGGTTTGGAATCAGGGTTTTCCAACCCCTTAGGTGGGCCCTCTTTATCCACCAACCCGGCTAAAGCGCAGGACATTCGCTTTCCGTCCTCTCAATTTTGTAAACAACACCCCCGCCGCAAGAAGGCAGTATGACAGTAGCCGTATACGCGTGGCCATGTGAGAACACTTCGAGGAGAGCGCACTCTCCCCACCCTTGACCGTACCAGGGCATTTGGGGGCCAAATTACAAATTCCATGGGTAAACCTTACAGAAAATCTAACAAGTGCGACTGTCATTATCAATTACAAACTTCTTCAGTAACCGAAATTATATGTAATAGCATTGTCTTTAAAAAAGGTAATCGTGTTACTATAAACAGACTAGGTTAAATTGATATAGGATTGAAAAACATAAATTTATGCTATTTACTACTTACTTCCAATTTATAGGCAAGTATTTTCCCCACTGCATCAGCATTACTTTCCCAGTCAATCGACAATGAGTTGGATGAACTTTCGAAGTTTTTTATCCTTGGCTTCCCGGGAATCCCTTCTGTAGTTGAAGCAACCAAAGACGTGAACGGGCCCGAAAAACGACCATTATAAAAAGCGAACGACAAATTGTACCGTGTGTATGGCTTCAGGTCGGATATATCTACAACCTAAAATGATGAAATATTTGAAATTAACAGTTTCATTAAGTTCGTAGAAAGATAAGTTTAGAGGAGTGCTTTTACTTACTTTAATTGCCTCTGGGTGAAGCAACTAACAGTGAAACTAGCAATCAATTTTGGATAATAATTCCATTTGGTTTTTTAAATTACAAAGGAAAACCAAACAACTGATTGAAGGTGCTTATTTACTCATACTATACAGTTGAAATGCTGAACGCTGGATGCTTGTATCAATCTAACTTAGTACAACTCATGTATGTTTACGAAAACTCTTCTCATAAAATCAAACTTTTTGTATTACCTTATGACTACTGTACTATGAAAATTATAGAGAAATAACTTCGCTTCCTGTGATTTACAACAACTATCTTGAAAATTTACAATATAACAAAAGGAATCTTACAGTAAATGACATCAGCAACCCAGAAACACTCAAGTGTAAGGAGACAATAGTTACCTGTGAGAATGATTCAGATGCATTGTAAAAAGTTTTTGAAGCAAACTTGTAAGGCTGAATTGTAGCAACTGTGACAATGTAACCGACCAGTGGGCCATGTAGTAACGATATAAATCGAGCATCTTGATCTATACATCTTTTGACGTTATCTTGAATGATATCCTTTAGAGTTGCGATACCAACATCTACAGAAATTGAGTGACTGGAAACATTGATGATGTGAACTGATGGATGAGCAACAGGCAAACCAGGAAGAGTGAGTGAGTGACTGGGTTTACTGAATTCACTCCAACCAATGTCATTCAAAGCGCGAATATACAAAGTGTAGCAAGTATAGGGCTTCAAATTATGAAGTGTTGTGCTGGACAGAGGGGATGATACGTTCTTTTGTAAAACTAAGCTATTACTGCAAAAAAAATGTTTTGGTTTGAACAGATAAAAATATCCCGAAATTGCACATAAATTATTTTAAAATATGCCCCGAAAATCACACACATTCGTGTAATAGATTTAGCGCCGTCTGAATTCAGACAACGGTCTGTTTATACTTGAGTAAATGAAGTAAAAGGTTCATCTGAAGTTAAGTGCTTAAAACTCCCTGGAGTAGAAGTACGAGAAACTACTACCACCACCTCATTCACTACACTTTCTAAAAGTAAATAAAGACTACGGATATACAAAACATTAAACGCAACGAAATCGGTCGGTCAGTCATAACCACCGTTAAACATAGGATAATGCACAATCAAGAGGGAATACGCAGCGACCTAAACTTAACGTTGGCTTTGAATGAGAACAAATGCCTTCACATACGTGCTGCCTGGATTCTCTTCAAGCCTGTTATCGTTGTGTAAATAGTGGACTATTATTACTTTAAAAAATTATGTATTTCTTCTGATAAACAAGCAATGGACCTGCTGTAATATTATCGTTTTTACTGGTCTGATAACACGGGTGAAAGTACAGATATGCACCGATGTTAAATAACGATTTATATGCATCCGAACAGAATGGATAACCGGCAATCTTTTGGTCACTGGAAAATAAAATTGTGATACCTTATAAACAGATTTACAATTATACCTGTACGGAAGATGGTGAGCAAAACTTGGATCAGCAACCTTAAATGGTAAGACATTCCGAATACACTGTGGAATGTAAAAACGCAAGCTGCACTAATCAGACGTGAATATTATTTTGTCAAATGACGAACAGGCAGTAAGAATCAGTACGTTTATCTTTAAAAATTATGATAACCTTCAGTCTTCCTGGTTAGGAGTGACTAATCCAAACTTAAGAACTTATTTCGTCCGGCTGCTTTGTCATATTAAACTACTGGATTATCAGAACTTCTTTAATCTTACTACTACTAGACACCATATATTCTGGTTAGAAGACTGAAAATGACTACCTCGCAGTAAATTTTATCATTAGCTTTTCCTACATATGTATATATAATTCTTGAAGCACATGATTCTGCAGTAAACCACACCGATTGTCAATAATTTACAAAGTACTAACAAAATGGACTGTATACAATGCATAGCTTTATTTCTAATTATTTATTTTGATTTTAATAGCTTGGACTGAAGCGTTGGCTACTTCTTAGACAAATGTATCCACAGCAAGGATATCGAAAACGAGGAGAGTTTGCGACTGTTAGTAAATAGGATCATCTGACGTATCAGATGGGAACCAGTAATTACATATTTTGTCAAATTCAACGAGAATATCGGAGAGCGAAATGATCGTATCCATCAAGGAGATTCTGCCTAACTAGATTTGATCTCTAAACCTTGCTACCGAATATCAATCGTAAGTTAAGACATGATACATATATACTCGAGGAAATGGACGAAATTAGGTTGAACTAATTCAACCGTTTTGAAAATGATGCGCAATATCACTCCTTTTAAATGGAATTTGTCTTCAAATTTAACTTAAGAAGACAAGGATATTTAGTGAACAAGTAGTACTTGTTATCATTTCCAAGTGGCACTACCATACTTCCTAACACGATAACTTTCTTCAGAAATCAATGCTGTTTAATGGTTCTTTAAAAACAAGGAAGTATTTTGTGGTTGTTTCGTCCTAGTTTGGCACTTCTCAGAAAAGGGGGAATCGTGAAAACCGAATCGAAGTCTTTATTTATCTATTTATCTATTTCAACACATAAATACCGGTACAAGAGGGCACCAAATATACATGCGCCACACCATATTTGTGTGTGTGGGCTGTGATAAAGCCCGGGTGCCCAAACCGAAGCAGGTGGTTTTCTTAGGAGGCCACACCCCGAGCCTTCGACCTGAAAGTCTGATCCACAAAGCAGTGGAGCATCGTAAGGAGATGCAGTCCCATGGTAGCCGGTGACCAGCGATTGGTTCATACGCCATTTGTTCCCGCACGATACTGGAGCCCATGTGTACCACTGGTTTAGGATCCGGTTAAAGCGCCGGACATTCGCTTTTCGGTCTCTCATCTTCGTAAACAACACCCCCGCCACAAGAAGGCAGTGAGTAAGGCTTCCCTGGCAGAGGCTGTATACGCGTGGTCATGTGAGAGCATTTAGAGAGGGAGGGAGAGCCCACACCACTCCCGGCCATACCAGGGTATTTGGGGTGAATCGAAGTCTGGGATTGATGTACTACTACTAACTACAATGCTCTTATGCCTTAGGTTTGATCTTCGGAGAGGTCGAGACCAGTTGCTGGCAGATGCAAAATTAAGGTGGGAGAGCTAGCTAGTGGTCTCTGACTACCAATAGTTTATCGAGCAGGGTCAATACACAAGGAAAACCGTAGTCTCATTTAACAAATTTTCGTAGCACAGCCAAGCATAATTAACAATGAGCCTGGTCCGACTTCGGGGTTTCTGACCGAGACTGACTTACTGACTGATGCCGGTATTCATTAACTTCACTTTGTTGACGGGAACGTTTGAACTCGTGAAAGTTTCTGAGAAGCGATTCGGGAAAATATCCTATTCTTGAAAAAAGTATTTTAGTTATATACAAAGTAAGATTCAACGACTTATGGAGGTAAGTCTTTAGAAGCTTAAAGTTCCTTTTTATTGAATACTTGTAATTTTGTGAAATGGAATAAATTATGCTATCACCCTTGGAATAGATATTGTACTATATAAAAAATATACAGCATGTTGAGCGCCACAAAAGTGCGATGTACAAACTACTTACTTGTCATGCAAATAGACAGTATGAAGAGAAATGGGACTATTTTGACTATTTCCAGAGACCCATGACGCGTTCATTGAGCTTTCAGACAGTGCCTGGATGAGAATAGATGTTGGAGAGAACGGTTTATCTTAACAATTACATAGGTGATTAGCTTACCTTGTATTACAATGAATAATGACTGGTGGTACTTCAAGTTTCCATTATGAAACAGCCGGCAATAATACTCCCCAGATTGCGCAACGCTAGCATTCCTTAACGATATGGTTTCTTTAGACGTTGTTTTGTTCGAAGGGTCAAGCCATAAGATAAGAGTTGGGTTTATATGATGATTTTCTCCACACCTCAAAGTTATGTCTGAACCAACACGAAAATGACGGGTTACATTGGTTCTTAGTGGTGGTATAGGCAGTGTTGACAGGTTTACGCACCAAATATTTAGGTGACATATAACCACTGAGAAGAGCACCAGAGCATTTGCAGCTTTAAACATAGATGTGTTATTATCACCAAACTATCATCTCTCATACCCCCAACCATCCGTCGCTAAAATAAAACGTGAAGTCCACCATAGTCCCGGGAACAAATAAGGTCAAATGAAAAGCATGTCAATATCCAATACCTTTGTCATGATCTAGTATAAATTAAAGCAATCAGTAGTGTAATCGAATAAAAGTAAGGAGAATTCGGCGGAGGAATTTTTTACGACATTCACATCTACAATAGTAATTATAAATAAATAACAAAGTCTGTGAACGATGATAAGTAGTATATCGTAAAGTGACTCGAGATTTTAAATAATAGATTTAGATTTCAGATTCAGATTTGTGTAGTAAGGACAGAAGTTCTGCAGCCTATTTTATTCCTTTTCTAGTATGCTTCTATGAGTGCTCAGTATTCTCTTGAAAGAGTCAATTGAAGGTGCTTACACCACTGCTTCTGTCAGCAGGTTCCAAGTATTGATGACTTGGTGTGAAAACCTGTATGCCACCGGTATTTTGTTCGTTCTTAGCTTTTCTACTCACCTGCTATGTCCTCCGAGATGTCCCGATCTAATAAGAAGAAACAGAGAGAATAAGTTAAGTCCAAAATAATTTCTCAGTATTTTGTACGTCAAAATTAGATCTCCCCTTAATCTGCGATAGGACAGTGTAAAGAGGTCTAGCTTTTCAAGCCGCTCTTTGTATGGTGAACTCCGGAGTTCCGAGATTGCACGGGTAGCTGCTCTCTGTACTTTTTCTAGGATATCCGAGTCACCTCTTAAACAGGGACTTGCAGCCTGAACACAGTTCTCAAGCTCATTTCTCACTAAGGATTTGTATACTGTGGTGAACATGGTAGTATCTAACTTAGTGAATGTCCGTTTTAAAGCCCATAGGGTTCGAAACCCCCTTTTTATATATCCATTTTTGTCACCATTTTTAGTTAATTTTAAGATGGTCGGGTCTGCTCACAAATGTGGACAGCCGTATTGCTTATTCCGTGTGGAAGAAGGAATGCAATGTAATGTAAGAACTGGTTCCATAAGGTGTATATCCACTTAAGTCCCACTGCACATAAAATAAGCTCAAGGCTTAACTCTCATTGGCTCTGTATGTTTTGTTGTTCGAACAAAACATTACTCATACAAAAGGTAATTAACCTTCTGTCGTTGGCCAACAAAAAGATTGATGACGGCTGTACCGGTAACATGGGTACTGATAGAGAAGAACGCGTCAGTGCCGTAAGTGCTGTCATGGCACGTACCAGAAACCCGACTGTACAACACGCAATAGAGCTTTCTATCCCGAAACAAATGATGAGCGAATACACCATCAGATACTAGTGGCCAAGTTGCCACAGTAGTGACTGATGACCTCGTCAAAACCATTATCATCCCGAGTAGTTCAAATGTGGATGCTGAGACGGATGGGAAATGGATGATGCAGAAACATAGAAAAGAAGGAAAGATAGCCAAAACTAACGCTCGTTTGGTCGAGAAGTCCTTGGTTTACTCACATTCTGTGTGTCAGTTTACTCCTCTGAAGTCCCAAAGTAAGACCACATTTAACCCTATCATAGATGGGAAACGTTTGGCCACATCAAACATCATCGTGAGCTATTCGCCCGACTCCCACGACTATGTTACAAGAAAAACTCACGGTGAGCTCCGAGCAGTTAACAGGTAAGATCTGCCATCATGATCGAAAGCTATGAAAACGACTTTCAAGAAGTTAAACCAGTCCATAGTTGGATTCTAGAGGAGTCGGAAGATAATGACTTCCATGCGCATGGCCTGGAGTTAGTGGAATCTGTCATCAGAAATGTAATGCGTCAAGAGGTTTCAGTGCTACATATAACGAAAGTAATAAGACTCGGTAAATGGGTTTGAGGCAAGACCCAACCGAGAAAGATCTTGAAGTTGATATTCGGAAATTTGAAGAAAGATACGTAATATTGAGTATTGTATATTAAACTAGTAAGTTAGCTATTCGTACCCTCCCAGATTCGCCGCTTGAGGATCGAATCAAATGGAAGAATGCCCTTACAGAGCTGAGTACTAGAATGTTAAATGGCGAAACGAACCTTACCATTAAGGGTTTTCGGGTAGTCAGGTCTTGGAAGCCAATGCTTCCGAGACACGTGCTTCCGGAAAACGAGTGATTTTCAAAGCACCTTAAATGTGTCCTACACAAACGCCCGTAGTCTTAGAAATAAAATGTCCAAGCTAAGTTTGATGTTAGATAAATTAAGTCTAGATATAATTTCTGTCCCAGTTGGTTCATCGTAGATACGGACTGTCCTCCCAACATTGCAGGTTACATCTGTATCAGAAGTGATAGAGTTACGTCGCAAGGGAGTAGGAATAGTGTTATATGTTGGGGATTAATTTCGAATACAATCAATCATATCGGAGGCGCATGTTAGTGCTACGTGTGAGGAAGCATGTTGTACAACTACGTCTAGAAACGACTTAGTGAATATAGGAAGAATATACCGTAGTCAATGTGGTCTTGCAGGCGATTTTATCTTGAGACACATCTGTTCTTAGGGTAATGCAGAATGTTGTCTCATCATTAGGAACTTCAACGCACTGCATATTGACTGGATAGAGCTTACAGCTTCGGGTTGAGTTCCGACAGAGACCTTCTATCAACCATTATTAAGTGTGCGCTTGTACAATGTAACTCGAAATCGACACATACTGACTTGGAACATGACCCGTCATTGCTGGGCCTTGTCCTCACAGACCTCTGTGAAGATGTCATCGACATCGTATGTTAAACAGCGAACAAAACGCAGTGATGGTATTTCCTCGTTACCGTTAAACGGAAATTCAGATTTACTGGCTGGATCGGGTCTGGCAATAGCTGAGACTTTTGCTAACTGTTCTAGAGAAGTCTACTCTACGTTTATTGTTACAAATACTTGTCCCAATCCCACCGACATACCAGTCATAGAATCTGTAGATGTAACTGTGGAAGCTGTTCTTCCATTAGTCACTAATCCTAAACCTTGTAAGATACCGGGCCCCGATAGGTTACATCCACGACTGCTGTCGTATCTTGCGGATATTATTTCAAGTCCACTCGCGGCGCTCTTCATCATGTCCCTCTTACTTGCCTAATTCCCTAGAGATTGGAAAGATGCTATAGTCAGTCTTCTATTTAAGGATAGTCAGAGAAAGATTGTATTTAACTACCGGCCTGTTATTCTAACCAGCATGGTCGTTAAGTTGCTAAGTCATATAGATTCATAAAATCTGTTAACTCACAAGCAACATTGGTTTCGTAACAAACGTTCATGTTTGACTAACTTACTTCTTGCGAGAGAGGGTTGGACAGCAGCCCCAGATAACTGTCTGTCTGTTGACATGATATTCACAGAATTTAGCAAAGCGTTTGACAAGGTTTCACACTTTGGTCTCATGCAGAATCTCTCGAGCTTCGGAATAACAGGTGCTGTACAGGAATGGATAAGAAACTCTTTATGTGACCGCAGACAGAGAGTGGAGGTCAATGGAATGCTATCCGAATGGAAGTTGGTCAAAGGTGCTATACCCCAGTGCACCGTCATAGGCCCTCTACTTTCCCCTCTCTAAGTTAATGAATTACCGCTATTGCTTAGGTCGTCGACATTACTGTTTCCGGATGATGTTGAAATCTGGAGAACAATAAAAAGTGAGGCGGATAATTTTGATCTCCAAGTTGACTTAGACGAATTAGTTAGATGTGCTCGAGGTTGGGGCTTAGACGTTAATACTAGAAAGAGTGTCCTCATGCACATCGGACACGGCAACAGTCACCGTTATGCCACTGATTGTATATCTCTTCCACGGGTTCAAGAACACAAATATTTAGGAGTTATAATAAGTCACTAACGAACACGCATCGCAACGCAGCTGTTGTCAAAGGTTATCGTGAGTTATGTTCGCTTCGCCGAGCATTCAAATGCTTTGACGAGGTGTTTGAATTTTATATCCCGCCTATGTAAAACCACACTTATAGTACTGTATTTAGGCAGCTAGCCCATGTCAGATTATGGATGCTGACTCTCTTGAGCGTGCTCAGAGTGCTATTATTATTCTTCACGTATTAAATTACTATTTTGATAACCATTCATATGTGTCAGTAGTATTACTAAATTCTATCACGGTTAAGTTATAATGAGGTCAAAAAAATCTCCTCGTAACTAAATAAACCGTATCAAACTTGACAAACTAACTGAAACAGTATTTGGAATTTTTCTTATCCACGATTATACTTTTGTTCCTTCATTTAGTCTACTAATGCAGATACAACTGGAAATCAACGCATACAGACAGTATACGGACACCAACATCAACCGACGTTGTAATTTAAACTAAAAGCAGTACCAATATCAAATTTTCTGCAATACTGACTGCTCTTCTATTTCTTTTCGCAAATTACATATACTGCTTACAACTTGAATCATTAGCCAAATGTTATTACTATGCAATTTATTATGACTTGTCAAAATATCTCTATACTAAATTGTTCTCCATTGTCATAATCCTACCATAACTCATGTATAATTAATGCTCATGTGGGTTTTCGTGTTAAGTATATCAAGCATGAAACCAGACACTTCGAAGTTATTACATGCACTTCCCGACCAGTTCCTACCACCTTCATTTTGATTTATCTTTCAGCTTATCAATACCCAGAATTATCATTATTATTATTGGTAACCTTCAGCGCGACAATTCCAATCACTTTAGTATCGAACCAACGTCACGCTGATCCTGGTGTGAGAGTAGTGTAGTGGCATTGGATCCTAACCACAATCCTCAAAGCTGAACATAATAACTAGGAAAATAGACCTTCAACATGTAACACTAAGAGAAGATCAATAACGGTAAACGCGGTAACATTTATTCGAAATTGAATTAATCGGGTGGCATGGCTCGAACTCGCAGGCGTGGTCATACTTATGTAAAATAAATTTCAACCGTATTAAACATATTGTTCTATCTTCAGCCTAAACTTGTTCTTCATCATATATTGACGATTGTTACAATACGATGAGTCAGGGTAGACAATGATGATCTTATAGATTAGGCAGTTACATCATGACAAATCCACGA